GCCCCTGATGCGGACCCCCAGACTCTCTACGACAACCGTCATCTTGTCCTACGTGGCGAGACCGCTTCCGCTGTCATGAAGGTGCGAGCAGCAGCCCTTCGGGCATTCCGCAAATCTTTCGAGGAGAACCGCATGCTGGAAGTGACCCCACCTGCAATGGTGCAAACACAGGTGGAGGGTGGCAGTACCCTGTTTAAGTTCGACTACTACGGCGAGAACGCCTATCTCACTCAGTCTTCCCAGCTGTACCTGGAAACCTGTCTCCCATCCTTGGGTGATGTCTTCTGTGTTTGCCCGTCATTCCGTGCCGAGAAGTCCCTTACTCGTCGGCACTTGTCAGAGTATACTCACATCGAAGCCGAGCTTGACTTCATCACTTTCACCGACCTCCTGGACCATTTAGAGGCTATGATTTGCCGTGTTATTGAATTGATCCTGGCCGAACCTGAGGCGGCAGCCCATATCAAGCAACTCAACCCCGACTTCAAGCCCCCCAGCCGTCCCTTCCGCCGCATGAAGTACTCTGATGCCATCCAATGGCTCATCGAGCACGAAATCCCCAACGAAGAAGGCAAGCCCCACCAGTTCGGCGATGACATCGCTGAGGCCGCCGAGCGCAAGATGACCGACATCATCAACCAGCCCATCTTCCTCACCCACTTCCCCGCTGAAATCAAGGCCTTCTACATGAAGAAGGACCCCGAAGACCGCCGTGTCACCGAGAGTGTCGATGTCCTCATGCCCGGTGTCGGTGAGATTGTCGGTGGCAGTATGAGAATGGACGACTGGGACGAGCTCATGAACGCCTATAAACATGAGGGCATGGACCCCTCCCCCTACTACTGGTACACTGACCAGCGCAAGTATGTTCCCTTCCACGAGGCAAACCCTCACAGAACAAATACTAACTTCTTCGCTAAAGGTACGGTACCTCCCCTCACGGTGGATATGGTCTCGGTCTCGAGCGATTCCTCGCCTGGCTGTGCGCCCGTTACACTGTCAGGGACTGCAGCTTGTATCCTCGCTTCACTGGCCGTTGCACGCCTTAAAATATCCTATATATTAGATGACTCCCATAGATATGCCAACGTCTCAATGCAGACCGAAGTTCCTCTACTTACTCGATATCCAGTAGTTCCTAGGTAAGAAATCTTATGATGCGATGTAAAGGCCGTACCAGCAACTCGAAATGAGAGCAATAGTTCGGTGAGGATAAAGATCACCAGCAGTTGATTTTATATAATTATAACTGGATGGTGCCAAGAGGTAAGACTGTGTGATTAACACTAGACTATCATAATTCCGCATAGTCCATGGCCACCACCTTAGTTATTCTACCATATCACACGCATTATAACTACTACTCAACGCTTATAGCTCTCAATTTTATCAATCTCTATTCCCTCTCCTTTCCTTCCCTCAACATGAACAACCACCTGCATCATTCCCTCTCACTCTTCGCCTGAGCCAATGCAATTCTCCCCTTCCTTCCTCTATCCCTGATTCTGACCCAGTAGAGTATCTCCTCCGGAGCGACCACCAATCCATCGAGCACACTCCATCCAATCATTTTTCCTGGGCGCCGAGACGGCACCAACAGCACTTTACTCTCGCGAAACTGAATTGTAACCCTATAGGCTCAACTTCTGTTCAATCTATTGAAGAGACACCGAAACCTTGGAAGATGAAGACCAGGTGAGGGACAGGCGCAGATGATGCCCAGGCTTAATTCGATGCCGGTTCAAATTGAAGACCTCGATGCTATCCCAGGCTATTTCTAGGTGGTAAGGAGGTTGCGATGTCTAGGGTTGTGATGCGGGGTATAGAGGTTTAGTACTGTATAATGTTTGAGAGAGAGGTAGGAAGACACTTTGGCCAACAGCTATATGTGGTACTTATAATATCCCCACGGCAAGCATGGCACACAGAGCGATCTTGGACTTTGCGGGAAGGTATAATTTGCTAACGATAGGGACTGGAAGGACGATGGTGACTAGATCACCTAGAAGATTGAACATCGCGCTGGCAGGAGGCGGTCAGATATATACATGCAGCTCATCCAGGGTTGGATTTGCTGAAGGTATATTGAACTAGTGAACATTGGAATATACTGGCGAACACGGTGCCGAGTGCAAATGCGAGGATGATGGTTATGCAGGCCCAGCATGTGTTGCTCATCCTCATATTTTCCGAATGCCCATCTGCACTTCTTAGGGAATGGTACACAATTTGATCCGTGATTCAACGCAGGCTGCAGGCCTTACCAGCAATCATCTGAACGGGTACGATATCTGCAAAACCCTTCCCCAAACGCACAGTGGGGAAATAATAATATCACAGCTTGACTCAAAGCATCGTTCCTGGTATATGCACAAGATGCCAATATAGGCCAATCGTCTGCTCCGATCCGTCTAGAACTCCAATTATATATACATTATCATTATCTGAAAGATCCTTGCAGGCGTCGTAGTAAGTGAAAGATAAACAAGCACATGCAACAAAGTCTATATAGTACGGCGCTGTCTATGGCGGGAGGCACGAGGCGTAATTTAACAGCATTGCTCGTGTTTAGTTAATCTAGACGTGATATAGGTTAGCATGTTGACTTCTTCTGAGGTAGGTCGTGCCGTGCCTGTCGTGCTTCAGCTCCAACGATCAATTGGTCAGGCAGTGCATGCATGTGCCAAGTGATTGTCGAAAACACCTCAGGTCTGATTGCATGCCATTTTTTATGGGTCTTTGCATATCTCATGTTCATGTATTATAAGCGGCACGATGTTAAAAAACAATTCGCCCTCTTGTGGGTTGCCGGCTTTTTTAGCGTACGCTCTTTATCATAAGGATGGCACTGGGTCTTTATCATTGAGGGACTTCTGTCAATTGTATCGGCTCGCCAAGTTTCTCACTTCAGACTGGCCTGGGCAGGCGAAGTTCCTGAGCAGTGAAGAGAAAAAGCTTCTAAAAGAACTCGATACTCGTGATCTCGGTGAAGGAGCAAGAATGGACCTACTTACTGCCGCTGCGTGCAGACATTGTGCTTGATTAGAAGATCTATGTGGGCAGTATTATATAGCTGGGTATCATAGTTTCCGGATACGCAACAGCTCTATTCGTGCCATCCATTGTGAATTCGCTGGGATATAGTGGTATCTTTCCTTACAGATTCCGATGACATCGCTACGCCTTTGTGATGTTCGGTGTCGTCACTGTGGGCATTGGATGCACCATATTATTGTGCCAGGGCTCTCTATCTGGGGGTTTGAATGTGGATTTCCATTACATGGCAGTGTTCTTCGTGACCGCAGGATGCTATATTGTTCAACCCATGGCTGATTGTGCAGATGGCGAACAAACATCAGTGGGCATTATAAGCGCGCTGTTGATCTTGCCACCCGAGTCGGATTTGGAAACATTGGTGGCATTATGAAGAGCGACATCTTCAACAGGGATGACGTATCTCTATGCGCTGTTGCATATGCGGTCTCACTAGCCATGATGGTGCTTTGTGGGATTATTAGTAGTTGCGCCGCCGGTCTGTTGATCAAGAATAACAAGAAGGCCCAGGGAAAGCATGATGACAGATTGCAACTGGATAAAGATATATTGCTTAATTTGGGTGATGACGATCCTCGATTCCGTTTCAGCCTAAGACTGGGAGGAACTTGAAGCCCCGGCCAGTCACATACTCTCTCAGAGGCAAACCCGTGTTGATATATTCGTTATTTGTTTTCGAAAGCCGTAGGGGGGGGGAATACCTTGTCATCTAAATGGCTGCAATGCGCTCTTGCGTGGCTCACACCAACTGTGCAAGCATGATTCTGGCCGTAGTAGCGGTATTAGGTTGAGTGCCTCCATCTCTTTCCAGGATGAAGCATCGATCAAAGCTTGAGTGACTCTACACATCCAAGGGATAAAGACTACAGAAGCGTCCGATACTAGACAGTAGTGGTTCTTGCTTGTCATGTCGGACAGAAGGCAACAAGGAAAACAGTAGATGCAAGTAAATGTGCAAGGGTAAGGACCTACTGTTTTGATATTGCTCAAGCCATCAGCCTCATACGGGTGTGGCGTCCCTTCCCCTTCCAGCGACAAACCTCAGCGAATTGACGACAGTAGCGATGGTCATCCCTCTAGCCACCTAAGGTTGCTGCTACAACTACATCAAGCCCCCTCTTACGTTCAATGACCAGTTGATATCATGATAACATAACACCAGCCATCATTTGAACATGCCTTTATATGACCAGTCGTCCAACCCGCCACCCGACTTTTGAACGATGGGCCAAATGAGATTCGGAGCTTCGTGCCGAAACTGAATTCCAAGGGACCTTCGAAAACAAACTCATAATAAGCTTGATTAGCTCTGGATTGTCTATGGAGGACTTCCTCTTGGCTTGGCAGAAAATCTCTCATATCTGACTCGGATATGATACTCGGCAGCAGATATACACCATAATCTGAGTGGGGTTAATCACTCTTTGTAGCTGGCATGCTGCGGCTACGTCCACTTAGTTAGTATATCCACCGATGTCTGCGTCATGCACCCACAAGACGGCCAGCCATGGAAGAGAGCAGGACGATGGAACCATTCGTGTTCAGGCATATTATTTCAATGCAATGAAGCCACTTTAGGCTGACTACTATACAATGGTGAAACAATACGCATAGTAGTAGGGAAACTACCAATTTAACATGGCAAACGGTCAGCTGAATCAGGAAATGGGAAGTACTTGGGCCAATCTCTACCTCCAACTGGATACCTAATACGGGACTAGGGAATGAAGAAGCAAACAAGTCAACTAAGCGGCATATCCGCCTCTGGTTTATCTGCATGACGCTATTCGGATGTTGACTTCAGCACCATACCACCGTGTACTCATCTAAGGCAGCCTTTTGTTCTCAACGGCCAAGGCGACGACGTCACAAGATGGTGAGGACAGAGACGAGCGAGGTATAGAGTCATTGCAGCATATTAGCTTTCACCATGCTTGTCTTGGCCATTAGGATCCCGTGGCACCCGCATTATCCCCGAAGTGGTTGTTTCCATTCTGCATTTGAGAGATCACCGCGAGGATCTCTCGTTGGGAAGCACCGGAACGGATGATAGAGACTAATCGGGCTACCGTCTCTTGATCCTCGTTGCAAACCAAATCCAGAAGTTGTTCGAGGAAGGTTCTGTAGTAATCCGAATCCTCGGCATAGCTAGTATGGAGTAGGGGATCTGTGTTTGGAGTCTCGTAACTAGAGACTTCGTAACTATCACTGCTTTGGTTGTTCGAGTTGTGATTGTTCGAGCTGTGGTTGTTCGAGTTGTCGTTATTGGAATTTCGATTATTGGAACTGCGATATGAGGTTAACCACATAAATATGTGCTATCACAGTCTCTATACTGCAAGCCGATTACCTCTGCTCCGAGTTGTGAATATTCCGACTATTCATCATACCATGCGGTTCGCAGTCGCGGTTGCTTGCTAAATTGGAAATCACTAAGTGCTCACTCGGCAGGCACTCGGCTGATACAAAGGCGTGGCAAGCTCTAATACAGAATCAGACTGAAAGGGAAGGCGATAGGGTATGGCCTTTAATTTGAAGCGAAATAGTGGTGTACGGGGCGAGGGTTGGTTGGTGGACGTGTTTAAGCGAGGGTCGTGGCTGCAGTTATGTCAGTACGTCTGGCGTGCAGACGTCGCTGGTGGACGCAAGCGAATCTTATACGTCCCAGAGGTATCACAAGGTGGTTGACAAGGATAAAATCGTTATCCACTCCTAAGGCTTTATGGGTATAAAGGTAGGCAATGGTAACTCAAAGGAAAAGCAACCAAAATGTGGAAGGGAAAAAGAAATATTTCAGATTGAATCACGCCACAGCATCATTTAAGTGGTTTGCTCGACACCTTTGAAGCACCATAAGCCTCCGAGAACTCAGCACGGCGATAAGGGCCAGTTGGGTCTCCTCTCTGTTTAGGTGGCTAAAAAATACGGCCATTGCCTGTGGTCCATCCAGTTGAACAGACGCGGGTGCTCCAACGATTTGTTTCGGTTTGACGGCCAACTCACCCTGCATGCCACTCCAAGCTTCCGCAGCACCCCTTACCAGGAAGGACGGGATAAAAGGTTAGAACAGGGCCAGTAGTCTGGAATGCCCTCGGCAGCACTTGGGGCAGACAATGAGAAAAGACGGAGTAGTAACTTCAACCGGTGATTAGTTGGGGCTATAGGGGCCTCGGAGAAAACTGCCAGCCAATCTCATGACTTGTTTTTCGTCTCCGCCACCGATTTTCGGGAGCCTTTTGCTAACCTCCCGGCACATCATGACGGATCTATGGCTTAAAAGCTTGAGCCCGCCTTATTTGCCTTTTGGTCAGTTTGTGTGTTTTCCTTCTGATTCACCGAATCATGTTCGAGTTGCATAGTAAGGGTAGTGTCAGGAAAAGACTTCCGGGATCGACAACTCGCGCATGACCTCCTGTCACCCACTTGTCGTAACCACGGATAGGCAACAGTCAAACATGGTCCAAGCTAATCAGATGCCCTGAACGTCTACAGGATAGACGGTTCTACATGAAGATGGTGCTTCTTTCTTCATTATCTCCCCTAGTGATGCCTTGGCGTGAATTTGCAAGCACTCCCTTTTGCTTGCTCGATGACGAACAGCCCACACGTTCCATGGAAACAAACCATCGAGATCGTGCCATACTGGCCAACATCATTCCGCTTGAAGGATCCCATATAGCTTGCTCGTCAGAGAAGCCAAAGTCAGAGCCATGTCCGAACCCAACGCAGCCTTGTTGAAAAGAAGAGCCACCTCGTATCTTGCCCGACATGTTTCCCGTTTCTTGTTTCGAGAAAATTGCAAAGCTTCAGATCGCAGAGACTACGATTGCATAAATTCAGTGACCGCCACGTTTCACTTCCAAAACGCATGATGGTCTCGTATAAATACAAACCTGTCTCAACCACTTTAAAGCTAGTCATCATAATGACGATACCACGCGCTGGGCTTGGAGTGTGAGAAGGTCAGCATAGGCTTTCTGATAATTGTATGCCGGTGTGGAGTTCCTCTGTGTCACCATACCCTTGTTAAGAGTAGCGTTCTCACCGACTCAAATCGCACCGCAGAGTACCGGCAAGCCGGCCTCACAAGATGCCGGCACATGGACAATAAGCAGGTGGCGATGTTTGTGAACAAGGTACTTTTCTTTCCCCCTCCGCTTGGAGGGAAAGGGAAGTACGCATGAAAAAACCAGGACAGAAGCACCCAGTAACGCGGTGCCGATTGGCACGAATCGGAGTCTTCCCTAGGAAGGAAAGATTATCCCAGTAATCCTATTGGAACTCCACTTAACGCTTGTCCAGGTGCTCATTCAGCGAAACCTTGGGTTATGTAACTCAAAACCACCTACTTGAAAACTTATCGCAGGTCAAAATTCTGGGAAACCTAATCAGTTGATTTGATAACTATCAACTCCTGTGGCTGGCGCCCGCAGAACTGCAGCATGGAGTCAGCGGCCGGGCAGTACGACCCCTGGGTATAGAAAACGTGACGAAGTTTCAGCATCAGTGGCGAGATGGGGTATTCGATATCCAGCTTTCGGGGGATTTTGCAATTCATTCAAAGGACGCCTTTCTTCCCCGCAGTCAGCTGATATAACATCATGGGACAATGAACGCAACACTCATCATAGTCGACCAAAAGTGCAGTACTGCTCTTATATAAGGTTTAAGCATCGAATGGGGCAGGGTAACAGTGGGTTGCCGTCTGTGACTTACAAGAGCCCAGGTGACATCTGTTATACCTGCTTACATCTACTGTCCAGCGACGTTATGATGGCAGCATATCTATATGCCAAAGTTCGTTCGGGAGCATATCCTTTCAAGCAGTTCTGAAAGGTGTCAGCTATCCGCTCGCTTGGAAATTATATCCGGCCGTAGTGGAGTTTCTGAGTAGCATTCAGCCGGCATCTGCCACTGCTTGGTTTTGATTGCGATGGCCATCACTTCTCAAGGATGACAGAGAGTATCACTCTCTCGTCTTCGTCTGTGATTAATAGGCGGCTCTTTGGAAGCACTCAGCGTACTGCAGTGGGTGTGATGTTTACTAAATGCAACTGCCTTAACTACCCGACTCCCTCGGCACTCAACGGGAACGCTACGGTCAGATTTGACACCTGTCGAACATAGCGTTACAAATTTACGTCAAGGTCTCCCTACATAGATCACACATCGCACTCGTTGAGGTGTAAACCCGGGGAAGAATTGAATCACCAAAAGTAACCTGGTTAATTTATCAACCCAAACACGAGGCTCTGTTATGAAATACATTCATTTTCAAGACGGCTAACAATATTTCCAAGGGGTATACGATCTGCCGTTACGATGCTGAAGTTAATTCAAGGTATATGAATCTGGCAGAGATAGGAAAGCAAAAGGGAACGGCTTCAAAGCAACTCATGGGCCGCGATATTTTTCCAACTGGACGTTCAACTATGGACAAACACCAGTACCTGTCCTGGTAAACTCTAATCTGTTCGGTATAGATAAGAGAACCCTACATCAAATGCTGGGGTTGGCAAGCAAGGAGCGATAAAAAGGCAGAACTAAACCGACCACCGATATTATTTCCAATATAAAGTCCCCTGTGGCAGTCTCTCAAGGCGTGGGCTTGCTTACACATAGATAACCGTCGCGTCTGCCAAAAATCGATGACACGCCCTTGAAAGGGGGGCTCCCTTGGATTCATGTCAAGTCCATCTAAACCAATAAACTGGGCCCGGTTTATATAAACAATTGTTCCCCTTATTCCTGTCAATCCCTACTTAGAATCCCTCAATAGACATTTGTTACAGCCTGAAAATACTAATCATACATGCCTCAATCTGCAGGCAGAGATTAATAGACATCGTCACCCACCGTGTAAACTCTACATACAACGGCGTATTCCTCCAAGGAGTAGGCAGGTCCAAATCATAGTCCTTTTATTCAAGACTCCGAAGAGCGAAAGAAAACCATTAAAATAACCAAAGAACATGTTTGTTTGTTTTCTACATGCCCCATGCACGCCAAAATTCCTGACACATACCCCGTTAACGCGCTGTCTCAAACATTCCTCACACCAACCCTGTTGATGACACACCAATGAAAAGTCCATCAACCCATAAACAACTATGTTCTCGTCCACTTCCTCCCCATTCCCTCCCCATCCAAGGTCAACCTAGCAAGGCCCCCCTTGCATATCGCCTGAAATGGGACATGCGTGCGTCTTTCAAAGCATGCATGGCACTTACCTGCCAGGAGTTAAAGAATCCTACACATCCTCACTCATGTACAATACCTACTTCCCATATCTATAAAGCCTTGGTCGAACATACAACCTTATCCACACTCACCCCAGAGACGAAGAAGAAGAAGAAGAAGAAGAGGAAGAAGGCGCGAATGCCCAACAAAACAACCAAAGAAAGAAATAGAAAATATCTGCCCAGATCAATCAATCAATCATAAATCACAATATGAATTTCCGCGGCCATCTCCCTGCGCGTTACATCTCCACCCTCTGCCTCTTTGCCACGGCGATCTGCGGCCAAATGCTCGAAAGATCCAATGGGATCGATACGGGGAACACAGTCTGTCTAGGAGCTTGCGTGACGAGCGTGCATGAATTGAGATGCGAGACTCCTACCGTGCCAGTTGTATGTGAACACGGCTTCCCCCCGGCCCCCACTTCTCTCTGTCATTTTCTATACACTTTTTCCCCCTCCTACTGGAGATGGTAGACGTAGAGGCTAATCAGTGCCATTGTATATAGTTCCGACCAGTGAAGGAGTGCTTCGCTTGCTGTATTTCGGATGACAATGCGGGTGACTGGGCGGATCACATTAACTGGGGAGATGAGGAGAAACATCCAAAGGAGGAGGAGGAGCAGTGACCAGGTATTGATTCAATTGGTTTTGGAAGAGACCGCATGATAGTGTGATTGAATGGGCTTCAACAATTTGTTACCCCTTTTTTTTGTTCTCCTGGTTATTGGAGCAATTGATGATATCAGAGTCGGGATTTCGAGGGACTGTCATTCAGGGTATGATCACTATGAATATTGTTACATGTTAGACTTGGCATGCTGGGGGGGTATTCAAGGATTAGAGGATGTCTAGTCTTGCTCTGTTTGTCCAGAAGGTATATTGAATGTTACTCGAGGTTTACATACGCTGACCATCGTACATGAGAGACATCTCTTACATGTACCCTATGCGATACGGCGTTCTAATGTACAGTTGGGTCGAGAGAATGTATGTTAATTTGAAAGTCCAATCCCTTGCATTCGTGTGGTACGTAGTACAGTACATATACTGCAATGTATGTAGTACTGCTTGTCAGGACTTGGTAGCCCTAACATAAGTCTACCTACGTGTAGGCGCTCCGTAGGGTAAGTATATGTACAGTAAGTTCATGGATACAAAAATGAGTACTAAAGAACTCATTGCTAACAATACTTGAGAGGGCTCTCTTTATTGGTCCCAGCCCAAGCCTTATCAGACCAGCAGCCGATACTAAGAGGCATTGATAGCGTACGCTAGATGGATCTTGAATGGGACGAGGCTCGGCCTTTATTTTTAGTACCCCAAGATTGAGCGCATGATTTGCGAAGAATCACCCTAGCGGGTCTAATTATAGTCTATTTGCCTCCCTCTCTTATTGTCATATTTTTTTTAAAAAATTTTTCTACTGGGCGAAGTGTATGCAATGATGCCAAAACAAAGCGGAAATTTTAGTACATGCTGGTCAGCCCTAGAGCTACAATCGGCACATCGTCACATGGACACCGCATGAAAACCCATTTTTGCTATACCTTATCCGATCTATGTAACCTATTAGCCAAGTGCTTGTCTGAGCCTGCGCTATTAACATCTATTCGGTGCGATTCGCTGAATTCTGAATGCAAAGATAGAACTACCATGTCCATCGTCCGTAACGTCATATTCCCTCGCTTGTTTGGAGATCCGCTCACTCCTTGAAAACCATACGCAAGTTTCAAACCCAAAAGACAGATAACTATAATCCAACTAGTCCCGTAACACCAGATCCACGCGCCTCACAGTGACAATGATGTCACTTAAGCCCCATTGAAGACAGCAGCAATCCGGCAACCCACAGAGCTTCTTACTGCGGGCGCACAGGTGTGTGGAGGGGCACGGTACCCGAAATCCTGACGGTTGCGGGGCACTTGTCATTGTGGTCCCCCCAAAGCCCACTGCTTGCTGGAAAAATGGATCCCCTATTCATGTTGACAGTAGAGTCCTCCACACGAACCTCCATGTGAGGAACAACTAGCTCAACACCCTTCGCGCCATTAGCACTACCCGAGAAGTATGATTTGCGGCGGGGAGGCAGCGGGCGATGGGCCGGCTCGTTCAGGTAGCTCTCAGAAGCATTGCTGCTGAAAGAAGACGCCGCGGTAGATGGGGAATGCGTCAGCGATGGAGGAACACCCGTACTACCCAACAGCGTGAACAAACTGGCCGAGCTCCGGTGTTCGACCCTGGGACGGCGCATCGGCACGGGCGCAGAGCCGCTGTGAAATTGAGACAGATACTGCCAGGCTTCCGATGAAGGCAGCGAGGCTGAACCATTGGTACCCATGGGTATTACCGGCTTCCATTCGGACGGGTCCTGATCCGTCTTGGAGTCGTGGAACTCACCCTGTATCCGGGTGGCATAAGTCGATGTGATAGGAGCTTTGGTGGGAGTCATAGGTGGTACAATGGTTCGGGGAGACATAGGAGGAGAGGATGGGGGAGTGGAGGAAGATGACATGGTGTGATTCGATGTGAAGGAAGCTGAGAGTGGCTTATGGGAGTCCTTGCGACGGCAACTAAAGAAGAAGTATGAGTAGAAAGTTCATTTGAGTAAATTGGAGAAGACAGGTTAAAGGGGGGTGCTTCGGGATATAAACAGAAGACAAGGGGGCTGTGCCAGGGTAGAAGATGATACTGTCATGATAAGGCGAGCAACATACCTTTCGCTACAATAAAGGCGAGAATTGTCCGGTATGGTAATCTGTCTCTCGCACATGGCACTGCAGAAATGGGTTAGCTTCGGTTCCAGATAAGCCAAAGCTTCCAGAATGCAAGGGGAGAGCTGGTGGGAAGGCCAAGGAAAAAGAAATCATGAGTTCATCGACCGATCAGAGATCAATTAGACATACCAAAAATTGAGAAAACTGGCCGCCATCTCGAACTGACCCTCGTTATCGGATTCACTATGCCTGGTGTGTCCTGCACCCAGCTTCGAGATGGAGTGATTCACAAAGGATGTGCCTTTCCGATGTAGTGCCGGCCGGGCTGTTCTCAGCTTCGGGGCATACGAACCGGAAGGAGAGCGTCGATGGTGAAAAGAAAAGTTGCCTTGAGTCATGGATGGCGGTGAGAGATTTGCGTATAAATATAATATCGACCACAGATATATCTGGGATAGTTCGATGATGGGTAACCTTGCGCCAAAGGACGCCGGGTCCAGCGGTGGAGCACTAAATCTCCCCTGAGGGCAACAAAGTATGAGGGATTTGCGGCTAGCAGGGGCGATTGAGTAACTCGTTGGAACAATTGTCTCAGACCGCCGTTGTATTGCTAAAGTATTATTTCCCCAATTATTCTTCTTTTTTTATTTCCCTTTTTTTCTCTTCAGGAAAATGATGTGCGATGGCGAGTCAATCAATCAGGAGGAATGCTGAGGGAGGACAAGATCTGAGCGATTAATATTGCGACCAGCCCAGTCAGCAATGAGGCAAATCTTCTCCAAAATACTTCGGTCCGTATAATCTGCGATAAGCTTTCCTGGGACTTGTATCTGCAGTGGCGCATTAAATACTACTTAGTCAGATAGGTCATAACCCGAATAAACGGTAATACACGGGGCTTAATGGTTGTTATCATGGGTCGCTGAGTGGGGAGAGATAAGGAAAAGAATGAAAGCGAATAGATAGATAAGTCGTAACAGCGATAGGTAACATACCTCGGAATCTCTTTTCTTGGGAATTTTGTTTCCTTTTCTTTTTGGTTTCTTTTTGTTTTGTTTCCGGTATCTCTGCAATGTTTTTTTATTCTTTCTTTTGATCGAGTGTTTTTGGCGAAAGGCACGTGCAAATGGATAATTTTTTGGGAGTACTAAGGACCTGTAGTACGACTATGCGGCATTAATCGAGATATGTCAAGCTGCAGCCGAGGAAAATCACTCGGGGGATTAGCACCGACAGGGCTGGTATGAAAAAGGGATGCCGAAGGTAGATATAGTAGACCACGGGTATAATAAGTATGTAGTGATGCGGATGTGTGTGTGTATGGATCAGAGATAAAAATAAGACCCAATATCCGGCGATGGCGGTTATGTACTCCGTTCAAATACCCAGAGCACGAGAGGAGACCAGAAAAAGAGAGACATGGATATAATTGGAAAAGGGAAGCGGCGGAATTCTAGAATTTGGGGTTTCCACCTGTGAAGAAAAGCCAGAATTAGCGCTGAATCATTGGGATCCATTGGAACGATCTGCCATTCATTGAAACAGTGGAGTAGGCTCAGTACAAATTGGAAGGGGACCCCGGAGAGGAGCTGACGTGACCCGAGCACGTCACAGCGAAAAGGAAAGAGTCACGCCATTTGGGGAAAGGTCTAGACTGCCTGGCGTGCCTGAGGCATGGTATCCAAACGCGCAATCATTCCATGAAAACGAACATAAATGTAACGACAACCACTGCTTACCTCACCACTGATGTTCCACCTTAACTCATTGACACAAGACTGCAGTACTATGTATAGTAGGTAGGAGGAAGGGGAATGCCCACTGCGTCTGGTCTCCTATAAATAGGTGGAGTGTCTCTGAATTGGGTGGAGAAGAAACCTGAAAAGTTGAACGTATGAGGAAAGTGACACTCTACGTAGTAAAGTATGCCCATGCAATTCTGTGGTCCTTTCTGCCTAGTTTTATATGACCCAGTGGAGGGTTGGATCCAAATGAAACCAGGAAAAGAATTAAATGGCCTATGTACAAGCTTGATAATCCCCTCCCCTCCCATTCTTGCTACATCACAACTAAACCGTCACCGTCATTTTGTTCACCATTCCAATAGGGATATACTGGTATTCTTCTTTTTTATTTAACCGACCGAAGCACGCTTATCGGATCAAGCAGGACATCAAGCTCCAATCATGTCACTTGCGCTCGGATGGCCTGGTGCTTGGCCTTGATGCGTATTTGACGCGGGGCTACCACTCTGGACTTCGGGCATCCATGAATGATTCCATAGCGATAAAGGTCTGTCTCTTGACCCTCAGCTATGAACAACGCTCAGTCGGGCCCACTCCACCTGTTCTAGCCAAGTCAGACAGGCTGAGGCAAAAAAGGCATTGGCTTTACGTACATGCATTCCATGTGGACTGCATCCAGAACACTCCAGTAAGCGGTGTCTGCAGTATCTGAGAACCCGTGCGCTAGGATCAACAGCCTTTCAGGTCCAATGATTGCACCATATGGCACATGGTTTCGCTCAGGTACTCGCATATCGAACTATTCATCCCTGTTCAAACAAGGAAGGGTGGGCTATGACGATTTCTTACCTCTTGTCTTCTCTTGTACCTTTTCTCTTTTATTTTTCTTTCACTCGTTTCGTATGACGCTATAACTACTAGGTAGGGGGAAAAGAGAGAGTGAAAGAAAAGAACCATATGTCTCCTGACTTTTGAGGCAATTTCTCCGTATCGCACACGGATCTTCGTCTTATTGGACATTTCAAACATATAGGCAACACTTTATTGGATTTTCCAATATCCAAACGGAATAGAAAGGACTAGCAGTATATTCCCACTTGTACCCACTATTCCGATAAATGGCTCTTCCCCCCCTCAACGGTCCTCAAAAAGGGTAAATCGTAGCAATCGAAAAGTAACACAATAAAAGGCGGGGCAGCATAGCGGGGAATAAGACGAAGTCGATGATGAACAAGAAACGTATACGAATAACTCATAGTACTCAGACAGGAAACCCATTAGGTCCTAGACTCTGCATAATAATATGACATGTCCTGGATCCAGCTGTGGACTGTCGTGTTGACGAATCAACATTGTTCCGCTGTTGCGGACGATCCATCTTCGATATTCAATCACATCGGTTTCGATTAATAGTGGAGACGAATTCCCACTCCCCGTCCCAGGGATCGTCTTCATTCCTGCCTTACGAAAATGTTTCCCAAAACAAGATTGACTTCTAGACCCTATTCCAGACCAGCGTTTCCAAAACAGCCCACTGTGAGCCGTCATTTATTCATCAACCAAGTCCGTTCTTGTCCGCACTTCAAGATTGATCTTCATAGTGTCTGGCGTGTAGTATGACAATATTCTCGACTGTTCAGCTTGGTCTCCGGCAGCCTCACTTTGCGCTGCGCGACTTATTCATTCCAATCCGAACTAGTTCATACTGTAGGTAGCCGCATGGGGCAGGAGACCACTACAATGAAATAAAACCGCCGATGCGGTGTTTCCTGCAGCTGGAGGGTGGTTGCAGAAATGTTGCAGGTACCTGATTTGGCCATGCGCGCATTGAGTCATTCAGCAAAAGTAAACATTCGCTAAGAAAGGTATGTTGGAGGGAAGGAAAGAAAGAAAGAAAGAAAGAAAGAGAGGTGAAAAAAGCAAATACCAACCTCTCTAGTGTTGGTCCCCTGATACAGAATGGCGGCGGGGGAGCATCACGAGTGAGGGTTCACATGCCGTATTACTCGATTCGGACAATCATGGGATTGTCAACCGAAGCTCTTTCGTGCTAAATTCTAACAACAGAGTCTGACACTTAACTACTACTGCGTAGTCAATCCTTCTTGAATCTGCAGGTAGGCTGAATCATACTATACGTGTTCCCCAGGGTTCATTCTGCATCTGCATGCGGCCCTTCTGGCACAGTCATCATACCGCAGTTTAATATCGCAATAGCACGGAATTAATTCTGTTTTCCACATAATCTTAAAATAAACTTACACGAACGAAGCATAACCTGAGTCAACCCTACTATAACCATTCCGGAACAGATGAGGGATTGTATGGGGAAAACTCCTTCACTTTTCATTTATTCGCCTTCTGTTCCTAGACGAGCAAGGACCCTGTATGTAAACGAGGATAGCTTACTAGGCAGCTTTGATCTGACACCTCATTTCTGGATATTTCGCTCGTACGAGGTTCTTCCGTATGGCAGCATTCGATAATAATAATGTAAATAAAGGAAACAACGGCTGATACAACCCGATACTACACTTGAGAAGTGTGTGAATTACATGGTTCAAGGTTTAATCGCGTGTAGAGGGAGAAGCCCAAAGCCCTTAAACTGGTACACACCACAGTTGATCCTTAGCTGGTTTGAATATCTCGTCATCATGCACGTGCATTAGTAGGTTTGACACAATCTCAGTAGCAGGCTGCGAAATTTCGTCGAGACTAGGTGGTTGTCATTACGGTCTGCAAAGACAAACTCTGCCTTTATGTTTTTATTCTTCATTTCAACTTTATCTTCTAACAATTGCCATTCCCACCTATCGACAGACGAGCAAAGGATATCAACTATTGTCCATTGCTGTGTCGAGGACGTATGGCGAGATAGAACTAAACACAGAAAATAGGACCATCTTAGGATTAACATTCTACCAAATTTGTTCTCCCCCATCGCTGTGAGCAGTCATATTGACTCTTGACTTCGCTTCTTGATGGTCAGAAGCGCATGGACTTAGGACGCGATGCAACGATCAAAGTCGAGGGCCACCAAACATCTAATTTGATATTTCGATATACCCCTGGCCTTAGCGTTACTGATAAATTTAATGCCAAATTCCTGCTTGGTGAGGTGCTGGTTAATAACATGTGTTGGTCTTGTCATACCATGTCACAACGGCAATGTGTCTCTTCATTCTATCCCCTTGTGAAATCTTATCTCACTCATTGCCAAAAGTGATATATGTGCCACAAATAAGTATGCATCGGACTAGTTTATCAATATCAATATCAGGGTAATTCGCAAGTAGAGAGAGACGCAGGGTGTGGTAACCGACTGCCACAATGGAAGAGTGTCCAAGATACTAGCCCAGCGAGATCTAAACAAAGGACACTTGCTTCATGAGGATAGAAGACCATTTCAGCGGCAAGGGGACTGCTTGGGGAGCATATAGTACTAGAGTCTAAGCTTTGGTTTCCTGGACTTATTGACAGTATGTAACATTCGGGATAAGGACAGATGCCACATAGATAAGTGTATATCAAATGAGAGTAGGTATAAGATGTATAGTTCCACTAGAACAATAGAGAGGCAAATGAACAAGGCTATGAGGTGTGGATTGATCATTCAGTAGCCCATTTTTATCAACTTTTTTAAGGATAAGCTTTGGTATAACCTCCGGCAAGACGGCAGAGTGATTAAAATTGCAAGGATAGTTATGCAATCCCTTCGGGGGCATGATCTCATCTCAGTCTTGTTGTTTTTTGACGCTTAGGTCACATTTTTTTAATGCCTTGTCTGGCAAGAATAGCTTGGCCCTTAGACCTAGCTCAATGTAGACGAGGCAGGCCCATTGAACAATATAAGGAACTGGCCTGGTAGAGCAAAGCAGACCATCACTATAACTTTACTGAACAACGTATGTACTTCGACAAGAGTATTGTAGTAGAAATTCATTATTCCATCTAGGGTATCACAATATAGTACAAGTATCCAAGCAACACAGCCTCCCGGGTTCCTGTTGCTTGTTTATGATTTATCAACTTCCATAGGATCGCCCGCTCCAGTTTCCGTAGCTGCTGTAGGTGCAGGTGCAGGTGTAGGCGTGGGTGTAGTAGCTGCTGCTGCGGCTGGAGTAGACGCGTTGGTAGTATCCTGGGAAGCTTTTGTTGTCTCGCCTACTTTATCCTTGTTTTCATCAGCAGGCTCACCATCACCATTGCTGTCCTTCTTCTCACTCGCTTTTTCCGGCGGCGGAGCCTTCGGGTCTAGAAAGCGGTCGGGAACTCCCCGTGCAGCAACACCGGCGGGGCCCACGTAGCATCCGAGCATAGTGCTCCAGGCGTACTTCTGAGCGACAGTATTTCGGATTTCATTGTATGCGTATGCATTCGCAAAAGGAAGAGCCGTTTCGGGGTCCCGATATCGCGACGGAAGGGATGTAATGACGCAGAGTGACGAAGAGATCTCTATTCAGGATGTTAGCAAACTTGGGGAACGAGAGGTATAGAAAACGGGCCCGCTACATACTGGCAAGCCTTGGCGGCTTCTTCGCATTGAAATAGATGCTGAACTCACGGCTCTGGGCAGTCTTATCGTCGAAATTCTCCAGCACAGTGAGACATCTCCCAGCGTGTTCAATGACTGACGGATGCTGTGGAATTTGGGACTGTGGCGCCTCCTCGCCTGCAGCAGCTGGTTGAACCAGTTGTACCTCCGGAGCCACCTGTTCCTGTTGCATCGCCGCAGGCATCTCTCCTTCTTGATTGTTGGGTAGCACAGGCACAGCAGGGATATCCGGGGCAGCAGCAACAGTAGCAGGAGGGGGAGGGGGCGGCACAACCTGAGGGGCTGTAACTGTGTCAGGCGCAGGCTGAGTCGCGGATTCGGCAGCTGGTTCCTTTGGTATAGCGATGTCGTTGCCTTCTGGGTCTTGATTTACCTGCCCCGGTGCCTCAAGATTCGAAGTCGGGACATCATCTGACATCTGTACATCTTCTGGACCTGGAACTGGGTCTTTCGGGGCTTCTTCGGGCTTCAACTCGACGCGACTTTTTGACTCTTGTTCGCTTTCGGGAGCTTTTTCTATAGCTTTGTCCTCGGGTGTCTTCTTGGGTAGTTCCGTTCCTTCCGTTTGTGACCCTGCATCTGCAGCTGGTTCGGTGGTCTGTGTATCATCGGACACGAGTTTAGGAGATCGAACAAGTGAAGGTGTCAAGACTGTAGAGTCATCTGTGGCAGTAACAGTTGTACTCTTGAGTTTCGTATCACTCCCCTGCACGGGAAGAGGCTCCGTTTTCTCGGTTGGTGTAGGGTCTTGTGCCTCTTTTGGCGTATTATCCCCACCAGGTGTGACTGGTCCTGCAGCACTTTCAGATACAGCTGGGGGTACAGGTTGTGTCGTGGCAGAGCTGGTAGTAGAGACATCTGCAGGCTTTTGCTCTGTCGCAGACTTTCCCTCCTTGTCCGGCTTCTTACTTTTCTTACGCATACTATCCTCCTTTTCAACCTTCGGTGTAATGTCGACCTTACCGAGGCGTGTCAAGCGACCATCAACCCAGGTAGCTACGCCACTCCAGTAAGACATAACAGGACCTTCGAGACGGCGGTTTTGAAGGGCCTCGATTTTGGCTTTTCGTTCTTCTGCTTTTCTCCTTTCCATCTCTTCCCATCGATTGAGACTCTTGCTATTCTGCCTTTCAACCCTTTCGGCTTCGGCAAGACGCTCGGCCTGTGTCATCTCTTTGGGCTTCAAATGCGCCTTTCTTTTCGCTGCTTCCTCCATAGTCGCTATGAGCCGAATTCGCTTCTCCTCACTATCCTTAAGTCGTGCGTGTGTGAGCTCCTTGTTCTGCATAGTTTGGCGACGTGAGGATGATCGCGTCGGTCCCTCCTCGAGCGTAGGAATCCATGAGATACGCTCCGACTTCTTCTTTGGTCGAGGGGGTGCGGGTACTGCGGACACAGCGGTTGGATCTATCTTAACCTTCTTGCTGGTTATTTTAAATCGAAGATCTTGCTGGGCCCTTCTTTTTTTCTTTTCTGCCTTCTCTTCCTTCTGTAGTTGCGTTTCCCCTTCGTAGTCATCAGACCGAGCATTGGGCCCTTGGTCATCCTCGTCCGAAGATGAGTCTAAACCCATATCGTCTTCCTCGCCCCCTTCCTCTTCTGCATTGACAGAGAACTCGTTATCATCATCAACCTCCTCAAATAGAAGAGCAAGGTCATCATCGGCTTCGGCATTGAGAAGGGCAGACATGTGGCGTCCTGCTGTGCTTCGTTTTGACCGTCCTTGAATGAGGGATACCACTGGCATCTCCTCTTCTGCGGAAGATTGGCCGACATTATCATCTGCCATTTTCTGTGTAGCTTAGGAATCAAGTGGGGGGCGCGATGGACTGTATCAAAGCTGGTCATGGAAACACGTCCGGACAGAACGAGGGGGACGGGATCCGGCGTGGCGTTTCGTTCTACTTGATTCAGATAATCCGCAGGGCTTGTTAACATAAAGGTCGGAGGCTTGTTGGGTCTGCGAACTTATGGGAGGGCGGGCGCTGCAAACGCCAAAAAGGAAAACGAAAAAAGGCGCGTGAAGTAACTAAAAGTGAAGGAGGGTAAGCTCAATGGGCTAATGTGCCATGAGGTGCGGTAGGGGACCGACGTACAGTGTGGCTAAAGATCTGCTTCAAAGAAGCGGGGACCGCCTTGGTGAGATGCTTAAGGGTTCATGGGTCGGTTGGCGCAAATGAGAGAATATATGAATCCTAGGATCTCGCTGATAAGCCTGGATCGGAGTTGAAAGAAGCTTCGGCGCGAAGGCACCTTATGCTCAATTGTTTCTATAGTCAACTTTGACAAAACTGGCTAACAAGTTTGACAAATTTGACCAATGAGGAGGCAAGATAGCCTAATGGTTAACCGCTAGTTCCTTACAGGATAGTTATATAATCCCTTCGGGGGCCAGAGTTCGAATCTCAGTCCTGTTGTTCCTTTTTTTGTCGCCCCTTGGTTTATCCCCTTTCATTTTGCTTTTATCCAATGCTCCTTGAGGGTGCCAGTAGGAATTTACATTCTACGCAAAAATCCATGGCGTACTTCAATATATTTTGGCGTGGACATTTCCTGCTTCAGCTGTTCCTGATCCCTGCCCATGTCAACAACGGCCGCCCTATCCTGGGCTCGCCCTCATTGATATTCTACGGAGTAATTATCTGAATCTTCCCAGCTGTGTCACTGGCTCATATTTTTTGGCTTCACATACTGTGGTTCACACTCACTTGTGGGTTAGTGACAATGAGAGGGGACCCGGGGGGGAACTTGTCACAAAGTATATGTGTGTGGGCGTGTATCAGGGATGTGAAAGATCAGCTACTAGTCTCCAAGGAACCCACTAAATACTCATCACTCCCCTTCTCACAAACTGTCCCATGCCACAGGGGACCAATAGATGGTTCTTATCACCTGTACTTACAGCACCCATACCACCTGCATCATGTCAGCAAGCAAGACTCCATGCCAAACAGGAGACGGTTCAGTGGAACGCGGGGTTTAGCATGTTTCAGGACTGTCAATCAGATGGGACTAATACAAACTAGCTCACACTTTACTCAGCCCTCCCAAGGTTGAAAATTAACATCGTTACAGTTCGCAAGGTTCAACCTATGAATCTTATCATGGAGTTCACATTATATGGTCAGAATATGTATATCCACTATGGCATCATGGAAAACCCCAGTCATCAGGGGTATGAATGGAAGCCCTCATTTAAGCTAATGAGGACTTGAGATTTTGTTCCCATAGTTAGCCCAGTGAGGGTAATGTTTTGGAGCTCAGGCACCACATGACCGGACAAATATTTATGTCTGAAACATTTCCGAAGCATGTAGGTAATCTGGCAGCCATCGATTTACAGAATACTCTTGAAATCACAGGTACTGTGTCCAAAGGCATAAATGGTTGCTCCTTAAAACGACACCCCAAGATAAAGTTGAGACAAAAAAAATTGTAAAGGGAAAGGGGAGACATGGAGTATGACAGACTGCAACGAATGCGTTATTTTGTCGTCTTTTCCAAAAATTGGTTCGGCAAGATCTATGGATGGGATCAATGGAGCCGTTGGGGACGTAGACTCGTTCGTCTGCTTGACGAAGAGAATTACAGAATGGATACCTGACGAGAGTAGCATCGATATATCCCATTTGGTAGCAAGACTCTCAGAGGCTGTAATTCGATGCTAGAAGAGAAAGAAACTATTATAAGCAAAGTATGAATGACATTCTAGTCAAGTCTAGTAGTCATGCCGGTTCCCTTTTGGATACTATCTTCCTAGCGGTAAACCGGTGACCAACCATAGTAACAGTAATATGACATTTCCTTGCCCCGGGATCCGGCAAAAGAACCAACCGCCTTCCCTTTCGCACTGTCGAAGTCTCTTTCCCACTCTTTTCCCCTTCCCATCAGCTCTTCGAGACCGTACCTTACGCTTACCACGACTTTGCCTGCGTCTTTATTTTCCATCCTCACCATTTTTCTTACGATCTTGTTTTCCTTTCTTCCCCCCAAAAAAATAATTCTTCTTCGTTTCCCCTCCTATTTCAATTAGAATATTATTCACTTTTATTCTATTTGTTTTGCACTCTTCGGTCCTTTTCTTTACTGTCACTATATCTTTTTTGACGCATCTGGCCGGAAGCCGCGCAGTTTATTTTCCAGCCACCCGTTCAACTCAACTTGGCCCTTTCGATCCGCACATCTGCAAACCGTTGCTTTCCTCCACCTTTGCCCTCTCCCGATCCTTCATTCTAGTCGTCTTGCTCGTGTCCCTTACGGCCTTTTCGGGTGGGCCTTGGTCGCCTAGCGATAATTATTATCACGGAGATCTTATTACTAGGTGGATCGTGGCAGTTTGATCTGAATACTAGCCAAGATTATCATCATCTATCGGTGGTCGGCGTCGATGCATAACAGACAGATTTCTGCGCAGAATTGATATTGACTCTTTCCGCTTTCTGGGTGTTAATTGCATCTGTTCTAGCTTACGTATTATTTTGACCAAGTCCTCCGGTGACCCCGCTACGAACACCTTTCACACACCGATCCAGCACACTGAACGCTGGTAACTGGAGTGCGCTCAGATCTAGAAGTGAGTTCATGAACATCTCCGGGGGTGTCAATTGGTGCTTATCTTCCACAAGGTATTTTCTAGCTGCCGAAAAATTGTACGATCAACACATGGTTCTTTTCGGGAACGTCTCCGAGTGAACCGGATTTCATCCTTCGACATCATCTATCGATCCATAAGAAAGGTATAATCTGGGAATTCTGGTGCCTGCCTTTTCCAAGGCGGAGGGAAATAATCTATAATGCTGCCTGTTTCACGACCTGAGGGTCATATGAACCTCAATTATATTCCCACCACTCAACCGATGTCTGGGACATCTACGGGGCGCAGCTCCCCAAGCGATTTGTCCACTGCCGCCGCCGTCAAGTCGCCATTTGGACCAAGCGGTTTAAATGGCGCTGCAGGGTCAATTGGAAATGCGAGGCTAGGGGCTGGATCCCCCTCTCATGACCTTGGAGCTCGCCTATACTCGAAAAGGTTGGTAGCATACCCATCCTGAGATTGCTTCCCCGTAATATTACCGTTAACTCACTCTTTCCGCTTTGCTAGAGCTCGAGAAATCCAGGCGGAGGAAGGCGTCTCCCCAAGTATTTGGGGCCCCCCTACCAGTGGCCATTCTACCCCGCTTCGCGAAAACATCCCCGAGTCCCCAAGCCAAGAGGGTTTCCCTGACCTGGTGCCTACTTCGAGCGGTTCGATCAATAGCCCTGCACGAAGAGCTAGAGCTGGCACGGTTCCCTCGAGATTTTCACCGGTTGGTGCGCTAAATGAGGCAAGCCTTCAACAATCTTTTATGTCTCAAACTTCTCGGCCCACGCCGTCGACTAGTCCTTTTCGCCCCTCTGGAGTTTCAGGAATCGACACAGGTGCGACTGTTGCTCCCGTTGCTCCTGTTGCTCCTGCTAGGGGTACAGGCTCTCTGTCACGTCTCCGAGCTGGTTCGATGCCACAGAGGGCAAACTTCCTCGGCTCGTCTAGCCCGTTTGGACCATCCTTGTTCTCTACTAGTTGGGCGACCGGGCGCGACCGGGCGACCACCCTCACGAGTATCCGGTCCTCTGAAGGGCCTACTTCTCCTAGTCATTCGTCCTTTTCAAGAGATGGACTCACGGACACCGATGTTAAGACGCTGGACTACCTGGGTCTTGCTGAGACCCCGCAACAAGCACGAGCCAGCCTTGTGCGACCCTCGGTGGACATGCTCCTCCAACAACAGCAACAACAGCAACATCAACAGCAGCAAGCGTCTTCTCTGCCACCGTTGTTGGCGGAATTAGCTATGATGAAAAACAACAATAGGTTTCGGTCATATTCTGTGAACGCCAAGGAAAAGTATGCGGACGATGAAGACCTCGAGTACGAGAGCCGTTACTCGCAGATTCCCTCGGGTACTGTTACACCCTCAGCCGCAGCAACTGCTGCCCAGCTGGCTGCTACCCAGGCTCAGATCCATCAACACAATTTGGCTGTCCAAGCATTTGCTAACCATGCTTCCGTTAACCGGCCGCGGGCTAGGACTGCCGGTATTTTAGAGGCTCCTCCTCAGCGGTCCTCGATTCGTAACTATCTAGCCACTCCTTCGCGCCTTGAGAACAGTTTTAGCGCTGCTGATTTGAATATTGCGGAGAGTGGAGAGTATGATGAATTGTCAGAGGCTGTGCAGATGATGCATCTGGGCGGAAGTGGTGCTCCTAATCTGGGCATGCGACAAGGTGATGTGGTTGATGAGAATAATCAGGATGGTCCGACACGTGCCTTATGGATTGGCAGCATTCCAGTTTCCACCACAATCACTTCTTTGGCAGCCATCTTTAGCAGATACGGCAAAATCGAATCCACCCGGGTGCTGACGCACAAGAACTGTGGATTCGTCAATTTCGAGCGTGTAGAAAGCGCCGTCCAGGCCAAATCGATACTCAATGGCACGGAAATCTTCCCTGGCGCAGGCCCGGTCCGGATTGGATATGCCAAAGTCCCTGGCACCTCTGCATCCGGGACTCCTGGGGTTAACGGCATCCAGTCCTCCCCCACCCCTGATCCCAACGCCAAGTCCAGCGCTGCTGATGGCGTGGAAAGCTCTGATGCAGGGGCCGCTGTTCCGCAGATCCCTCCCCTTCATGAGCTCCAGCCAGAGATGGTGCAGATCGTCAAGGAATTTGGCGCTAGTGATGAAGACACGCTCAATATAACTGCCAGTATCCAGCAGGCCATTACTTTTCAGGCATTTGAAGACGAGATCCCTCCAATCCCTGAGCCTAGCCAGGCCAGGATGTTTGATGCCCCACGTCTTCGCGATATTCGCAAGAGAATTGATAACGGCGCATGCTCGGTCCAGGAAATCGAAGAGACTGCGATCTCGATGCTACCGGAGATTGCAGAGCTTGCCTCTGACTATTTGGGTAACACCGTGGTGCAAAAGCTTTTTGAGTTCTGCTCTGAACCGATCAAAGAGCAAATGCTTGTTCAAATTGCACCACACCTTGCTGAGATTGGTGTTCACAAGAATGGTACCTGGGCTGCGCAGAAAATCATTGACGTCGCTCAGAGTCCAAATCAGAAGAGCATGATTGTGGAGGCACTCCGCCCGTACACCGTCCCACTTTTCCTTGATCAATACGGAACTACGTTTTACAATGTTGTCTTCGCTTTGGCTCTTCGTTTAATGACTTCATTTTCGAGACTATGCTGAGTCGTATGTGGGAGGTCGCCCAAGGACGGTTCGGAGCTCGCGCGATGAGAGCTTGCCTTGAAAGTCACCACGCCACCAAGGATCAGCAGCGCATGCTTGCGGCCGCAATCTCCCTTCACAGCGTGCAGCTCGCGACAAATGCAAACGGTGCGCTGTTGCTCACATGGTTCCTCGACACTTGCACTTTCCCTCGCCGGCGAACTGTGCTTGCTCCAAGACTTGTGCCGCATTTGGTGCATCTCTGCACCCATAAAGTTGCCTATCTAACGGTTCTTAAAGTTATTAACCAACGCAACGAGCCCGATGCCCGTGAAATAGTGTTGAAGGCGCTTTTCTTCAGCCCTGGTGATGAGGTCTTGGAGAAGATTCTGAGCGATCAAACATCGGGGGCGACCTTGATCTTTAAGGTTCTGACAACGCCATTTTTCGATGAATCCATGCGTGCAGAGGTTGTGAAGAACGTGTCGAAGGTTCTCACCAAGCTGAAAGCTACACCAAGCCAGGGATATAAGCGACTGATGGATGAGGTTGGCCTTTCATCCCGTGGCGGTGGCCGGGATAATCATGGAAGGGATAACTCAGAGAAACAACAGCAGCGTCCCGCCTCTCGGCCTGCACCTTCGAATTATCCTTCTCAGTCATCCGTGGACAGGCAGTACAATGGACAGTTCGTTCCCGCTATGCTTTCACAAAACTTGGATAATGCCCGGGCCGATCAGCAGTCGAACGTTGCATCTTTTGATCCCTATGCTATCAATGGGGTGAATGGTCTGGGCTCTGCAGGTGCTATCAATTCTTTGAATGGTGCCTCAGGAATAAATAGTTCTAGCTTCGGTCAAGATCCTTTGTTGCCACTCCAACAGGCGCAGTACCAGGCTTATTTGGCTGCGCAATCTCGCGGTGTCTCACCTGCTGGAATTTATCCGAATCTGGGTAACGCTAATTTTGGATATCCGGGCGGATCTCCTTCGGTGGACAACCTTCGGGGCATGCAGGCTCAGGCTACCCCCTTGTCTGGAACTACGCAGATGAGCCCTCCAGGCTCTATGCTTAACCAGTCTGGCTTTGGTCCCCAGCAATTTAGCCCTGTTATGAACACGGCTCAGATGTATCAGTATCCTCCTCAATTTAATTTCCAGCAGCCTGCCCAAGGACAGTCCGCTGGGGGACGACGTGGACGTGTAAGTGGTTCCAGGTCTCTAAGTGAGCAGTGATTGCCCCCCCGTACAGAAGCTAACATCGTCTGTTATCAGTGCTGAGGTTCACATATGACCTTTTAATCCAATTTTGTTTCAACTTTATGTATAAAGTTAACATTTTTTTCATTCCATCTTTCGCTACTTTCCGGATACAGAGTAGTATGGTTATATGTATGAAATGACCCTTATCTCACCTAGACTGACGCTGGATCGTCTTGGAAGAGGGGGAAAGGAGAGACGACAGAGGCAAAAGTGCTGTTGAATTTTATTTTCTTTCATTTCATTTTTATCTCATCTTTAAAGAGCATGGTGGTGTCACAGTTGTCAATATAGCATCAAGTGGTGCGAACCACCGAGTTTCAAGCCATGTTTCTTCAACCATGGTTGTGTTGGATACAGGGAGAATTGTCGTTGTTCTTGTTATTTTTACTCTTGTTTTTCTATCACTCAAAGTCCTGTATTTCTTGTGGTCTCGATCTTGCAGTGGGTTTAGACTGCTGGTGATGTGACGAATTTCCTTGATAGTCTCGATACGAAGCTTTTGTGAATTGTTTGACCAGCGGTACCTGTATCTCGTTAGGAATCCACATTTTCTGAAATAGACAACATATTCATATTTTATCTGTCGTGGCTGTAGTCTTATACGCGTTTAGCCATTTTTCTTGTCTGTGCCTAATCCTGTGGAGAATATATATTTGAGGTGTCAGACATTTTCCTGGGATAATCCGTGTAAATTCCAATCCCCATTTCTACTTCTCTTCCGATGTTCCCCAAGAACAGTGGCAGTTGCCAAACCACAAAACAATCAGCAATCAGTTATGACTCGATCTTCAATTCTCTATCAAAACTTCCAGAACACTGTATTTCTTCTTGACATTCCCACATCCATTGCTCTCGCACAGGAATTTCCCCTAACCCAACAAGAACCATCATCAGAATCTTCAAAGCTCATCTCACACAAACACGTCTGTGCAAGGCATCTCCTATCTTCAACACCCCTAAGAGACCCCTACCCTGGATATACAGAACCAAAAACGGATACCGCAAGGGCAAAGGTCTTGCAAAGGATTCCTGTTACGGAGCGAGAAATCCATGATACCATTTCACCTTTGGTGAGAGAGGCGTTGCATGAAATTCGGGAGGATCTCAAGGGTGATGAGTGGTGCCTTGAAAGAAGGACCTTAGCGCATGACTTTGGACGGGAGTACACTGCTCGTCGTCCCGAAGGAAACGTGTCTCTTGGGAAAAGAAGTCGAAAAAGTAAAGAGTCTAGTAGCAATGATGACTGCCGATTCCCTGTCAAGGACTACACAAATTTAACCGTTCCCGGAAAGTCAACCAAGCTACAAGGTATGTCTCCAAGCTTAGAGCTGGACAATCCGCCTTTAATCCTCTCGCCTGGGTTGAATTTGCTCGATTCCATGTCTGGCCTGTGCAATCTTGTCGTCAAAAATACGTCCTCTGACCATGCAACTGTGAGAGCTGGTTGCGTATTGGAAAGACACAACGACTCGACTGAGACCAGGCGCACCGAGCACCATAATCATACGTTCTATATACCACCCTATCGAGTTTCTTACTTTGCAAACTGCCTATATCACAGCCAGCTACAAAGCCCGACAGATACAGAGGCCCTATACCGGGTCTCCCTCGAGACCACAGATTCGACCTAATCCTCCTGGATCCGCCATGGGTGAATAGATCTGTTCGACGCAGCGGACATTACCATACACAGAACTACCTCGAGGGTAATTTACTGACCCAGCTTATTCGAGATATACTCAAGGTGCACTTGCAAGACAGCCATCGCATCTTCCGTTGTGACACATCTAATGATCATACATTGATCCCAAAGCCGACCGAGAAACAGGCCCAGAGCTCTATAGCAGCCATATGGATTACCAACTCTGCAAAAGCGCGGAAAATAGCCTTTGATGCTATCCAAGGCGCGGGTCTTTCCGTCTGCGAAGAATGGATTTGGGTCAAGACCACTACAAAGGGGGATCCTATCACGCCGCTAGATGGCCTCTGGCGGAAACCCTATGAAGTTCTGGTGATCGGAATGAGGAAACACTTCCAACAACAAGCTAATTCACCGGAGAAAGGAGGGGATGGTGTCATCACTAGGAGGTTCATTGCCGGTGTTCCAGACGTGCATTCCCGGAAGCCGAATTTAAAGGAGGTTTTTGAGAAGGTTTTCTTTGCCGATGCTTCTCCTTCTCCTTCTCCTAGGTCAGAATATCATACGGCTTATTCCGCTTTGGAGGTATTTGCACGCAATTTGACTGCCGGTTGGTGGGCCTGTGGAGATGAAGCTCTGAAGTTCAACTCGGAGGAATGGTGGGTTCACGGAAATGGTATGAGCTTGAGTTGATCTGTATTGGTTTATAATGTATATTTAGATACCGAAGCTCATTCCTTGACATCTCTGTTATACATAAGATATTATAGAGCCGTGACTCCTATCATTACATACGTTGATACTACATCCACCGTAGATACCTGGCCAATATCTTCACATGAGCCACTAGGGCCTGAGCAAACCCGGCATATGCAAACTCCCAAACACCTATTCGAATATGTATACACAAACGAAAAGATAAAGTAACATAACATGCCTCTTAATCAAAAACAGGTCCCAAGCTGACCAAGCTGAACCTCAAGTCTGGGTTACCACCCTGAGCCTCAGTCTTCAAGAACCTCCTAACACCCAAGTTAAGCGCCTTCTCGCTCAATGCATCCTCGTCCTCCTCCAACTTTCCTCTTTCCAATGGGCCCTTCCTCCTCCCATCCAGCTCCCACAACCTTCCATCAACTCCCTTCACAAACGCCACAAAGTGCAAGTCAACGGAATCCTCTGCCTGGGGCGCCGTGGTATCACCCAACTTCGCCGCATCGGCATGCGCACTCTCCAGCGCCTTGCTCTCATATAAGAGGTTCGCCCTGTCAACAGGACCAAGTGGTTCCGCTTCCCGCAAAAGACCATCCAGATCCGATCCAGGAAGAACCTGTTTCCGAGCCTCTCCATTGGACACCGCGTGCAGCAATCCGATCAACCCACAAGCGTTCCGGATCGTCTGTTTGAACCACATGACCGGCTCCGAGGGTCCGGATCCAGTGTAGTCGGTGAGTTTGCTATCTTCGGATACGCGGGATGACTCATAGGTTTTCGAGACGGGGAAGACGAGGAGGAGGGCGTGCGAGGGACGGGGGACGAAGGCTAGGAGGTCTGGCTCGTCGATAGAGTATACGTCTGTGAAGCCTAGGGTCGGTGGGAGACCGAGTTGGTGGACTAAGTGCGACATCACTTCTGGGTTGTTTTCTTCGTCCATTGAGTCAGTTGGTGTCCTCTTCCCTTCTCCGCTGGTTTGGATTGGGGTATTGTATACCGAGGGGCACGAAGGCCTTGTTAGTTTCTGGGGCATCGACATGATCTGTCATCTTGCTTATTGGTGCTTTCCTTAAATATATTAACACGGGGGTTTGGTGTGAAATAGTCGGTTCTGAGGTCAAAGTGGAGGGATGGGTTCGGTGAAATGATGTTAGTGAGGGGTTGGAATTGATCTGCGGGGTCAACTCAGTTAAATATACTAATCGGGGTTCCCGCCTTCCAATCAATGACATGTGATGGCTTTACTTTGGCCCTGTCAATGTAAGGGCCATATGGGCCCAGGCAGTCAAATTTTTGTTAATATAGTTAACTTTGTAAAATTGTCATGCGGATAATTTCATAGGAGTAGGCCTCTGTCATAAGTTCATCTCGTTCATAGCCACGTCTATGGTCTACCTGTCTATAACTAATCGCTGTCCTAGTTCTGCAATGGCTTCACCCCCCGTTTCAACGGTTCGTAAGTATTGGTCCACAGCTCACTGGCCTCTCCAAGGAAATAAGACAAGCTGACATCAGCCATACTAGCTTCCTCGTCGCCAGAGATAGTCTCCAACTGGGAAATAAGGTTCTCCAGCCCAAAAGCTTTGCCCGTAGCCTGCGTAGCGCCAGCTTCCAGCATGACATTAACAATGTGAACGTGGAAGTGATAATATGTTGGTTGATCTGATGACTGTCAATTATTGTCCCCTCAAGATGCCTACACGAGGCCACTTACAGTGCACATAAAGTTTGAGCTGATCCTGGTCTAAATCCGGATACATATTCACCGTACCCTCTAGCAACCGCTGACGCAGATACTTCAACCAAGGGATATGTTTCTTTTTCAAATCACGTAAGCTCCAGATATCCCTCCGCTGGACGAGAGCTAGTAAATGCAACGAGCCCATCGTTTTCCGATCCCAATTAAGATCGGGAAGCATCAGGAACCCATCCTCGGGACCGTGGCCCTGGTCCCGAAGAATAACATCTTCCTGTTCTGTTCGACCCTCAAGGATGTTAAATACCCAGTTCAATCGGCCCTCTTCCCGCTTGGCACTCATATACGGCCGGATATAGTCCCGATAAATTTCAGGTGTTTCGGTCACCATGCGTAGCACCTGATCGGAGTACTTCTTGATATGCTGCTCGGTGCATGGCCAGATCAGGTTCAATTTGAGATCGGCGGATTGATGACCCTCACTGTCAACACCTGATGACGCCAGGTACCAGCGGTAGATATCATTATCACCCAGGTTGTTTACACGGGTGATTGCTGAGTGGAACGCTCTCAATACCTCGAGGGATTCGGTAGCAAAGGCCGCTCGTTCAGCTATAAGAATGCCTTGTTTCCCTTCGATTGTTCCCAGGAGAGCGATACGACGGCCACTTTGGTCTAGGTATAACTTTCTGAGTTACTAAGGTCTTGACGACAGCGGTTTGGGCGAAGCGCCTGGTATAATAGTTCAGGGGGTTCAAACCTTGTCTGAGCAGCCTGCTAATCTCAAATTTTGAGATCAGTGCCTCGGGCGCCACTTTAGTGTCGTTGCTGGCTTGCATTATTGTGTGGGGTATCCAAAAGTTGAAGGTTGACCTCGACTAAATTTACCCCGTATCTTTACTATGTACTCGGCAGAATGGTTGGGCGGTCAATTCTTATCGGTGTTATCGATACTGTTGTTGACTTCTTTATATAACTCTTCAAGCAGAAGGGCGCATACTTAGGATTGAACCGGGTAATGCAAGCTTTGATCTTAAGAAGCATAGTTTATGATTTGTCTATATGGTAAAGTAGTACAATCGCTTTGGACAATGCATGTAGCTCCTAGGCAGCACGCCATAATAAAATGAAGCAAAGCAAGGAACTCAGCCGCCGGTGTGTGCTTATATGCGTAAAAATTGGGTGGAGGCATATACTTCTAGTCAAAACGAAGTCCTTATGGACCTCATAAGCAATATCGCGGGTTTTCCACCACTAATAGATGCATCGAACATCATTCACCATAGTTCACCGTGATGAAATGAGTATGTCAATGTACGGCAGCTGACCAACATATCGAAGTGCGGCCGCATCTTGTCAGACGTGCTGCAATTTCCCTAGGGGAGTGTATCCTGTGAACACATGAATCGTGCTCAACAGGGAAGCGCTTATGTACCAAGATGGTTTCGTCGCGTAGGATGTCTACAGATAAACCAGGGGTCAAGTTCATGAGGATTTCTTTTCGTCACTAGGCTGGCAATGAATCTACTCAAGATCAGTTCTCGAACACACACAAAACAAACTGAACAAGAGAGAGAGAGAGAGAAGAAGGTATTAACGCACCGCTTCGGCTAATTTCAGCCACTCTTCAATCCCCTTGACGAAGGAATCATCCGCCGCAGGTGTCAGTTCATGACCCCATACCACGTATTCATTGAAAGTAGCTTTTTTCTCTAGGATCTTGACTGGTTCTTCCTGTTCTGCTTCCTCGCTTATCGTAGAGTTTGCGTTGCTTTGGGTTGATGGCATCACAAGCTCTGTTGGCAGCGCAACAACCCCTGGGTTGGATTGTTAAAGTCTGCAGAATTTGCAATAGTCATAAGTGATTACTCACCTTCATAACCCTTTGGAATCTGAACACGCCGGCCTCGTAGCTTACGGCCGCGGAAGTAGGCAGTCTGTATATTTGAATCTGCGCCAATGAGTATTTTGGGACCTGAATACTATTGGGAGCGCTGACCTTTTCCATTGGATTCGGGCTTCCAATAGCGGCCCAGGGATCCAACGGGACCATCATGATGAATTCGACAAGGAAGGATATTGGGAGTAACGTTCTCTGTTTTATTCGCGTCTTCTGATCCAGAGGACTGTTGCGGGGGTTGTATAGCGAACATGTTGAGTTTGGATGTAAATTTCAATTGACTAGTGCAAAAACAAAGTAATTGAGCCGAATAAAAGGAAGTTAGCTAGTATCTTATCAGGTCAGGATGTTGTTCTATGAGCTGAGTGATGTGTGGGAATAAATTGGAGCACGCGTCGCGTAAAGTGATTTAAATGCCGTTGAGAGAGCGGAAATTTCCGACCTCAGAGCATCGACGGATCGGCAATATGAGCATTGCGTTCTTTTAGATCTCAATCTTAGAAAACACTGATAAAGGTTAAAGTCCAAATATCTGTAATATAATGATTTAAATTCTATATGCCTGCTCGAGATACAGTATGCAACCCGGAAATCTATGATCAAAGTAGTCGGACTGGTTGATTTCAAACGCCATGGAATTTGGGTATAATAGACAAGCTTGGATATAACTTAATCACCTCTTGCGCGTCTTCTTCTTCTTCTTCTTCTTTTTCTTCTGGTCGTCTCCATTCTCCTTCTCAACCACTACTCGTACCGGCCATTTCTTCAGGTGTTCCTTCTCGAATTCATCTTTATCTCGCCGGTATAAAAGCATTGTAGCTTTTGCATCCTCCACACTAGAATGAGCGCCGCTCTGAATATCCAGACCTAGAAATTCTGAAGCCAACATTTTCAAACGGGGAGAACCGCCTCCAGCAATCTTCCGATACGGTGGGTGTTTGCTAGTGTCTCTAATGTCGCGCTTGGGATGGCTTAGAAGAAGTGCATCCAGGTCATTCCGCAAGGCATGCCCAACGAGTATTCGCCCATCTATAATCTCGGCAACATCTTTTTGAACTTGTTCAAGGGACCGGGCCTCCACCATATGCTTCGGGAGTATGCCGCTCACATGCGTTCGCCAATCCGTGACCATTTCTTTCGGCCGTACAAAGGAGTCATACACTTGTTCGCCATTGAAGTTGACAATACTGACACGCGCAAGAGCCGAGTCGTTGTCGGGATTAGGGCCGACTCCCACCATCTCGCAGTCCATCGCAACATATTTACCTAGTTCAGCACTAGCACAGGATTAGCAAAGACTTGAAACATAAGATATGGCAGGAAGACAGCAGAGATACTGACGTCGGTGACCGGCCCTCATTGACCTTTGCAATCTTCACTTCAGGTCGCGGCGCAATCGAGGTAGTAGAATTCTTCCGAGAGATGGATTTCACAACGGTTTCCTGGACGACATCCTTGCCTCCATCAGCAGCGCTGTCGGCCATCCTCTTCCTCTTTTTCGATACACGAGATTGTTCAAGTTTGGTTTTCCCTTCGACTGTCTCCGTTTTTCGCTTCTTTAACAAACCATTTTGGCCTTCCCGATCAGATATCTTGCGTTTTGTAGAGCTGGAGGCGGGATTCTTTTTCAGCGTCTCCTGGAGTTTCTTCCAATTGCTGGAAAGGTTTCTGGCGTCCATTCCAATGGCCGGGTGGATCTTATTGCATTGTGCTCTGATTCTGGATATGCGATGTGAGGAGACAAGAAAGATATTTGATGCGGAGGAGCAGCTTTCCACCGATAAATTGCGCTAAAGTTAAAATTTCGGACGGCCCACTCGGGGGTCTCGAACACTTTCCGTTCCTCTATGCTTTTAGCTGGCCACAATGTACATCTGCTGAGCTTACGCGGAGTAGGCCTTTATTTACCCCCTTGTGACACGGATTACAGGGAGATGGACCATTTCAATAACTACATAAAAGCTTCAGTTTATACCATATAAGGAGCTTTACTGTCCGATGCAGGGTATCAGAAAACATAAGAACTTTTTGTATCCAACAACGCCTCATTATACAATAGAAGCCTATGTGAAAAGAAATCACGATGACAACACAAGGGGAATCTATTTACAGGCCTGGAACCTTGAAATCCTTGTAACCCCATTTCTCCGTCAGCTTTCTCTTTGCCTTCTTGGGTTGTGAAACCGGCTTTCGAGATTCCAACTTTCCTTGAACGATTAACGTCCGGAATCGGTCATCGAGCAGATTTCCTTCTGGCTTAAGCAAGCGCAGCGAGTCCTGCAGTTCATCTGGTAGAACAACCTCCAATTTTTGGTCGGGTGCGCTGGTGTGAGGTCAGTAAATGAATAAGATACAAGTAGGACTGGGGAAACATACTATGTCCTTCCACCCAAGGGCTTTCGCCGCAAAACAGTATCATCACCTTCTCCCTCAGAGTCGGAAGACTCAGCTCGCTCAAGCTCCTGCTGCTTCATTTTCTCAGCAATAGATTCTGCCTGCTCAACCTGGTCTTCCTTCTTCTTCATCTGAGCCTCCCATTTTGCTTGCCTCTCAGCCTCCTTACGTCGGTTGATCTTGTTTCTTTGCGCTTTCGTCTTTCTCTCTGGACGCTTCTTCTTCAGCCAATCTGGGGTCTCGTACTCGCTTTCGAACCCTTCCCAGGCACTTTCATCGTCCGACTTAACCTCGCCGTCGTCATCCTTGGCCTCGGCAACCAGACGCTGTCTTTCTTCTTCTTTACGTTCGTCCTCCAGGCGCTTTTTCTCTGCCTCTACCTCCTTGGCTCCTTGTTCCTGTAGAAGACTATCCCAGTCCTCAAAGGTTGGATTATAACTTGTGCCAGCGTTCGGTGTGCGGACAGCGGGGATCGCTTTTCCATTTGCAGCAAGTGAAATCGGGGCTTCCTTTATCGTTACAGGCGCAACCTTCGGCTTCGGTTTCTCTAGGAAATCAAATTGCGGATCCTCCACAGGTGTTGGGTCTTCAGCATCCGCCCAAGGATCATAGAATTCACCTCCCGCAACCTTCTTGGTGGGCTTTCCCTCTTTAGCGACCTGCTTTAAGCGTAGCCAATCCTTGCGGGTAACCCAGTCGCTCTTGTGTTTCTTAGTCTTCGGTTCCAGAACACCGTCTGTCACTTTGGAGTTGTTGCGTTTGCGAGTGTCTACCGCTGGGATGACCGACCGCTGAGCAATGATTTCTTCAGATTTCAGCGGCTTGTGCTGTTTCTCGAATGCTTTGCGAATTTCTGTTGAACCAGTGGTATCGACGGTGAATAGCTCTTCGGACGGCTTCTCTGCTAGGACACCGCTGTAATATGGAATCAGCTTTAGGGACATTGAGGGAAAGAGACTAAGGCCATATTTACCCTTTGATCTCTTCATCTTTCAACAACCGGAGACCTTCCTGGACCTCCGTCACATCCACATTCTTACGCCACGCCTTTTTGCCCTTACGGGAAGGTTGGCTAAATTGTTTGGGGGCATCTGTGGAAGGAGACATTTTGTAAACCTTACCAGCTAGATTGCAATATTGAACTGTAAGGTGGGAGTCTTTTTCTTTTCCTTTTTTCTTTAGCGCTAGTAGATAATCTGCGACCAAAAATCTGGACCCGCTTACCTAATGCAGTATCGCGGGGCGATTAAATTACATGCTAGTGCGTCTGCCGCGTTAAAGCTCTTCGCGGCTATCGCGGGCGAGTTGAACGCTATTCAAGACTGACTTCTCAGCGACGTGCTTTTCGCCCGCGTCAATTTATCATCGGCACTGATTACTCTAGCCACTAGCCCTGGGGGCTCAGTTCAAGCCATTATCTCTAATCTTGCATACCGATACTTCTCGGGCCTGATTGGTCTGAAGACGGCTGCTGAAACTCAACAGCCATGCCGGTGGTCAAAGGAGGTGTCTGGTAAGAGCTCTTGCGACTTGCAATATGTTTATTGACCAAAGGCTCACATTTATTTAGGACAAATATCGAAGATGAGGTGCTTCGAGCGGCGGTAAGTTAATATGCGCGCGAGACGAGTACAAGGAGGCATGTCGTGTTGCGACCGGACGGTCACTAATAATTGCCATACTACAGGTGTCCAAGTATGGTCTCAACCAGTGGGCGCGAGTATCCTCACTGCTAGCTAGAAAAACCCCAAAGCAATGCAAGGCTCGATGGGTGGAGTGGTTGGATCCCGGCATCCGGAAGGTCGAGTGGTCAAGGGAGGAGGATGAGAAACTACTGCATTTGGCCAAGTTGATGCCCACTCAGTGGCGTACTATTGCACCGATTGTTGGACGCACAGCTACTCAATGCCTCGAGCGCTACCAGAAATTGTTGGACGAGGCGGAAGCTCGTGAAAACGATGAGCTTGGCCTAGGCGGTCCCGAGGGTGGGGAGACCGCTGCACCAAGTGCGGACGATGTGAGACGGTTACGGTATGCTAATATATACTTATGCTGTGGGTTTCTTCTCGCTAACTTTAACTAGCCCCGGCGAATTAGATCCCGACCCTGAATCGAAGCCCGCTCGCCCAGATACAATTGACCTTGACGAAGATGAGAAGGAGATGCTGAGTGAAGCCAGAGCTCGTTTGGCGAACACACAAGGAAAGAAAGCAAAGCGAAAGGCTAGAGAACGACAACTGGAAGAATCTCGGAGACTTGCAGTGCTTCAGAAGCGTCGTGAACTCAAAAATGCTGGTATCAACATCAAGGTTGTCACCCGAAAGAAGGGTGAGATGGATTACAATGCCGATATCCCTTTCGAAAAGCCGGCAGCCCCTGGTTTCTACGATACAATGGAGGAAGAAGCTAGGAATGAGAGGCAGCGCGAAATGTTCGACCCCCGTAAGCAACAGCTTGCCAACAAGCGCAAAGGAGACCAAGACGAGGAGGCGGAGCGCAAGAAGAGGAAAAATGATAAGAACAGCAACTCTGCTGCTTCGGCAGCAGCAGCAAGAGCTGGTCAAATGCAGAAGATCCGCGAGGCGGAGCAGAGTAGCAAAAGAAGAGCCCTTGTCTTACCAAGCCCTCAGGTTAGTGAAAGTGAAATGGAGGATATCATCAAGATGGGTATGGCAGGTGATAAGGCCAGCAAAATGGCTGGGGATGAAGAAATGACACGAGGCTTGCTTGGAAATTATTCGGCAATTGTTGGCGGGACACCGATCAGGACCCCTCGCGCTGCGCCGGAGGAAGATCATATCGCCAATGAGATTAAGAACATCAGAGCCCTTACTGAAACCCAATCGTCATTGCTGGGAGGAGAGAACACACCTTTGCACGAGGGAGGATCTTCTACTGGTTTTGATGGTATTGCACCACGGCGCCAGGAGATTGTCACACCGAACCCTATGGCTACGCCTTTCCGACAGGCGAATGGTGGTGTCGGTGCGACACCTATGCGAGGAGGTGTTGGCCCGGGGGCGACTCCTCTGCGAACCCCCCGTGACCATTTCTCCTTGAATCAGATGGAAGGGGGACAGCTTGTCGGGAGCACTCCAAAGGAGATCAAGATGCACGAGAATTTTATACGCCAAAGCATCCGCAGCAAGCTTTCCGCGCTGCCAAAACCAAAAGAAACCGAATGGGAACTGGAAGAACTTCCTTCAGAGTCTACAGAGCCAACCGCCAGTGAGGAATATGTGGAAGAGGACATGGCAGAGCGTGATAGGAGGGAAAGAGAGGCGCGAGAGAAGGCAGCCCAGGCTGAATTAAAGCGTCAATCACAAGTCTATCAGCGATCACTCCCCCGTCCAAGTGTTCTAGATATAGACGTGCTGGTTGAACGTGCGTCGCAAGTGACGGATCCGATTGCCGGCATGATCTCCAAAGAGGCTGCTTTGCTGATTGCTCACGATGCCCGAAAGTTCCCCGTTCCTAGTGCTAAGGTAGAGGGCAAATCACGGAAAGTGGAACGGTTTGATGACGCGTTGATAGAAGCAGCCCGTACTGCTATTGCCACCGAAGCCAATTCTAGTGAAAAGAAACCAGAGTGGACAGAAGACTTCGATGCTCAGTGGACAACTGCACATTCGAAGGCTCTTCCAGGTCTCTCCAGTTATGCCGACGACGGAGAGGACGATTACCAACAAGAGCAACGTATGATTGGTGTTTTTGACAATGTGCAAGCCTCTCTTCTTGCCACGGCCGAGAGAGGAAACAAACTTGAGAAGAAGCTTGCGCTACATTACGGTGGATATCAAAACCGGGCGAAGATGCTACGGACTAAGATACTTGAAGCCAGCGCTGCTTTGGAGACGTCAAAGGATGAGCTAGATGCATTCCGTAACCTACAGATTTCCGAGGAGGCGGCCATTTCCACGAGGCTAGAGAAGCTGCGGGACGATGTGGCTTTTGTCATGAGAAGAGAGCGTGAAGCTCAAGAAGTATACCGGACCCGAAAAGAGGAGCTTGATGAGCTCGTTGCAGGGACAGGGGGAATGGTTAACGGATGGCATTGACGCTGAAACTAAGAGGTTAGTACCCGAATCCTGTACTTCAAAATGTAATCCAATTATGCCTTCTTACACGTTTGCTGCGAGTCTTCATACATGGCGTGTCTATCGGGTTTTACTGGAATGTGCTTTCATACTGTCTTTTTTTGCGGTAGCTCTATTGTTGATGCAAGCCTATTTACTAAGGGGATACTCAACACAAACGAAATGAAATGTAAAGGCAGCGTTTGCATGCTCAACTGAGAACGAGGACTATAGTGTGACTGTCACTGTCGCGTTGTAAAAGCTACCAAAAACGGATAACAAGATGACCATGGATTGGGAACCTAAGGCAAACAGCCTGAAAGGCGGTCTCTTCCGAGCATCGCAACGGACAATCCTCCATCCCCTCCAATATCGTTCCCCTTCGTCTGCATCGCATATTCCCTCCACCATCGTATTTCCATCTATAGAAACCCGTTAGACCGATCAGAAATTACTCCCCCGACACGATGGGCGTCAGAGATTCCCATGGGGAGGCAACCGCGACACCGGACCCCGTTGAGAAGGGGTTCGCCACCCTCAACACCGTTCGGTATGTCGCTGAATACACCTGAAGATATTAGTTATAGTGTCTTTGATATCTATTTAATCGGTCGCATCAACTAATCAGAACGATAGGATCGGTGTTAAGGCTATGGTTCAGAAGGTTAGTAGCTATTCAACTCCTTCGATTTTTATATAATCACGTGATCAAACCATATATTGAACTATATACTGACGTATCTTGGTAGGATGGAGAATTGAGAAAAGCCGAGATTTTGTCCATTAGACAGCGCAAAGATGGCCCAAGCTTTTAGTACGTTTCAGATAGGCATGAAATATATCTACACCAAAGTACTAATTAAACTTCAGTGTCCATTACGTCGATTTCAACAAGCGTCTCGACGGTAAGTTTGGCATCAATATCTATATTGCAAAATCATGCTGACACGATTATAGAGTGGATTGATTCCGCAAGGATTGATTTATCCCACGAGGTTGAATGGCCACAGCCTGAGAAACCAGAGAAGAAGAAAGCAGGTCCTGGTAACAAAGTGCCAAGCAAGAATGCTCAGAAGCGTGCAAGAGCTGGAAGCCGCGAGGTTTCGGCAACCCCAGATCTTTTGACGGGCAAGAATACCAATGTTGGCAAAGCACAGCGTCCGTCTAAGGCTGGCGGGAAGGAAAACCGTGATGAGACGCCTGCAAATTTGTCAGTCCTAGATTCAGAAGCTATTTCTGCAGATGTGACCCCTAAGCCCGAATCCGAAGATGTTGATATGATTGGCGTCAGCTTCACGGATACCAAGGAGGAGCATGAGCAAGGTAAAATGTCACGCGAAGAGGAAATCGAACGGCTGCGTACAAGCGGGAGTATGACCCAAAATCCTACGGAAATTCATCGCGTGCGTAACCTGAATCGTCTACAAATGGGCAAGTTTGATATTGAGCCCTGGTACTTCTCTCCTTATCCTGCCTCGTTTTCAGATGTCGATATGGTCTACATTGATGAATTTTGCTTGAGTTATTTCGACAACAAACGCGCTTTCGAGCGTCACCGTGCGAAATGCACCCTTGTGCACCCACCTGGAAACGAGATCTACCGTGATGACCATATATCATTTTTTGAAGTGGACGGTCGACGCCAGCGCACCTGGTGCCGCAATCTTTGCCTTCTTAGCAAGCTCTTCCTTGACCATAAAACACTTTACTACGACGTCGACCCTTTCCTATTCTACTGCATGGCCACTCGAGATGAAACCGGTTGCCATCTGGTGGGCTATTTCTCCAAAGAAAAAGATTCCGCAGAAGGCTATAACCTTGCTTGCATCTTGACTTTGCCACAATACCAGCGTCTCGGCTACGGACGACTGCTTATCTCCTTTAGCTATGAGCTCAGCAAGCGAGAAGGAAAGCTCGGTTCTCCAGAAAAGCCCCTCAGTGACCTGGGTTTGCTAAGTTACCGGCAATACTGGCGAGAAACACTCGTGGAATTACTCATAGAGCCGGATCGAGAGTCCATGAGTGAGAACGAGCTTGCTGTGCTAACATCGATGACCGAGAAGGATGTACATGAGACACTGGTTGTGTTCAACATGCTTAGATACCACGTACGTTACTAGGTCCTATCCTTCACCCCGTATGCTCGGAAGAAATAGCTAACTAGTTGTTACAGAAAGGAAACTGGGTTATTGTCCTCACGGACCAAGTCGTTGAACAACACAATAAGCGTCTTGAGAAAGAGAAAATCAAAGGGTCGCGCAAAATCGACCCTGCTCGTTTACAATGGAAGCCTCCAGTCTTCACAGCTTCAAGCCGAACATGGAATTGGTGAGGCGCAAAAAAGCCCGATTGAAAAATATCTATACATAACGAAGCTTTTTTTCTTTTTTCTCTTTCTTTCTTTAGCCCTAAATTTGTACATAATTCACCTCCCTGGTGTCGGGCATTTGTATGATATCATTAGCGTGGGTTTGGTCACTGTCTGTTTTTGGGGAGATGGCTGGTATGGATTGGAGGTCATTTAATAATGTCGAGGACTAGATGATATTATAAATCTACCTAAGCGATCAACCATATGCGGAGTTCGCTCGAATACCTCTTTCTATATCAAGCAACGAGAAAAGAGCCGATGAACAAAAGAGCGTATCTTATACCGTCTACAATGCCGAAAAAAATTCCTAGAGATGTAAACGAAAAATTTAATAGCCTGGCACGATGCTAGATACATGCATATCGAGTCTCAAGGCAGAGCTTCGTACTTCTGTCCCTAGCCTGTCCTTGGCTTCTAACCACGAGAGCAAGGAATACACGGGCTTTGCTTCAAGTGCCAAAGTCTCCTGTATGAGATGTATAGGTAGGTATAGTAGAGCCCGAAACAGGATATCGAAGACAAGCGGAGGAGCAAAACGGGAGTCAGTACATGTCAAACCGCACAGAGCCTGGTCATGGGACACGAGGGAGTAAAGAAAGGTGGCTAAGGGGAAGTGGAATGAGAAGAAAGTATGACAGACTCAAACATCTGAATTTCTCTCATACGGACAGTGGGATAAGTCACAGGACTGGCGTTTTGTATGCGGAAGGAAAGGAATTCCCATCCCACTCAATATGGCGATGTTACTCGGGGCCAGTGTTGATAAGGTAGGAGGAAAAAAATGTACGGTTAGAAAAGATAAGGACATTAAGAAGAGCACTAGAAATTCAAGGCAAGACCAGACCCGTCAATCCCCTACAGGCGTAGCTCATCAATACCGAAAAAAGACGCTCAACGAATATCGGAAACCTGGCAAAAGCCAATTCAAGGTTGAAACGTAACTCAAAGAACGGGACATTATTCCGCAAGGATACTTTATCACTGCGCTCAACGAGACCCGCTATATGTACGTGGGCCCCAGGAAGCATTGCGCGACTGGTGCCGCGGGGAGCTTGTTTCATTGCTTTGTTGGGAAGATGATTTCTTGGAATTCGAAGCCACAGATCCTTCGCGGGGCTTTGTGCTCTTTCGAGGCTTATAGCTCGAAGTTGGACGCGGCCGGGGGTTCTGGCTTCCTGCCTTCCTCGGGAGGGCCACCGTTTTCGCAATAATTGTACCTGGGAAACGGATTGAAACCCGTAAATTTCCCGAGCCATCTTTATCATGGAAACCAAATGAATAAGGTTCAACGCTATGAACCTGCATTAGCTTCAGGTGCTTAGCTCGTAGTCTCGACTGCGAAGGTGGCGGCGCCGCCTGCCAAGCTGCAGGGGGAGCCCTAGTAGGTACTCGAACAACAGGTAGAGACCCTACTTCACGGTCCTCAAAAATTTCTTCAGTTTCTTCAACCTGCTTAGCAGTTATCTCGCCGTCTCCAATTGCTTGCTCACCATGTTGGGGAAGTGAGACTGAAACTGCGGCGATATGCAATACGTCCAGGGGTTCTTTGGACGCAGACGTCACGGCCAAGGCGGTCTTCCTCTCAGGCACTGTCTTCTTGCCAAATAGGGTGTTAATCTTCTCCTGCCATGAAGTAGCAGTAGAGACAGGAGGGCGGGGCGGCGCAGCAGCCATAGATGCGAAGGTGGGAGGAGGCTGTGGAGGAGCGATGACTTTCGGGGGAAGTTTGACAATGGGCCTTGGTGCAGGCAGGTGTACCAAAGGTTTGCTGGTATTGCCTGTGAACACCGGATGGGTTGACATTTCTTCTGGTGGAGGTGGTGAGGGGCTGCGAATAAAATCGCCTTCCGCACAAGGTGGCTTCTTGTAGTGCTCGGATGCCTGCGGGAAGAATCGTGAACTTCGAGCTGGAACGCTGCCGAGAGGGCGTGAATTGGGCTCTGTAAATGGAAGAGGACCAACAGGATGATCCAACCCTGGGAGAGGATTGGGTGGAATCGGTGCGTTAGTATCTGCTGTTCTAGATATGCCAACGACCTGTCTTTGCCCGGCTTGGTCTCCAGTCCGTACCTGTCGCCAAGTCTCGTTGAAAGTTACTTGTAAAGATGGCCCCTCGCGTGCGGCGTTCATCTCATTGCGAAGTTTATCATTTTCTTCTGCTTCACGCTTGGCAGCAACTGTATGGAAATTGTTCCAAGCAACGGTCCCAGCGACACGGTTGTCATGTTGCCATTGATGTTGCGAACTGGGAGGCCCGATAGGACCAGGGCGGGCGATGGGGTTTAAAGACTCGTATGGGGCTTGTCTAGCTTTAGGGGACGCTATGGGGGATATCGGAGTACTTTCTTGAGGCGAGCGCGAAGGTGTAGAGAACGACTGTGATCCTGGAGCGACAGGCGGCTGATCCAAAACGAGAGGGTTGCGCAGAGGAACATCTCTTCCTGGCGGAAACCCTGGAAGACTCTGTTCAAATATGCCATTACCTAAAGTTTTGTCACTGCTAAGAGGTTTCCAAGGGTTCGCCATGGAAGGAGAGGTCCCAACTAATTTGGCATTGGGAGTCCATGGTGGGTACGAACTAGAGGCATTGAGGCCACCCCTCCACTGGGCTGATTGCTCATCGAGCTTGTTCTCTGACAGTTTTTCAGGCGCTTGTGTTTGAGGGTCACCAGGCTGTTGGAGTCCATTCGTCGCGGTAGTATCAGGTTTAGATTCCCGGGGAGGTGAAGGGGCGCGCCGAGCATTGGCCGTTGGTGAGGACTTTTCGGCAGCTCTTTCCCTCTCCACTAACTTTCTCACAGTGTCGGGATGATGAACCTTCATCATTCCATATTGCTTTGGCTCTCCCGTTGTTCCGGAACCGGGGGTTTGGGAGGGGACAACGACGTGTGAGTAACACCGGGTGAGGGAATAGTGTCAGGCCTACTACCTTCCAAAGTGTCCTTGCGCTGTGGCTTGGGTTTTTCGGGAGGTGGACCAAGGGCTTCGAGCTTTTGCCGGATCCTTTCACGTTTGGCAGCTTCCTCCTTTTCTTCTTGCTCTATTCTTCGCTGCCGAGCTTCCATTCGCTTTTCTTTCATAATACGTTCTTGCATGACAACTGGATCTTCCTGGGGCGCTTGCGGGGTCGCAGCTTGGTTAACAGCATGAGCAACATATGGCTGACTCGTGCCATCAGGTGCACCAGGAGCCCTTTCATGTACGCCGGCTGCACCTCGTGGAGTCCAGGAATGACCGGGGCCACGTCGAGAAGGAGAGGGCTCTCGCAAAGGTGTCTCTTGTTGAGGTACCAAGCCTGGCAACGGCGGCTCCACCATACCGTTCGCCTGCGACCCTCTTCTAGTTTCAAATGACCGTTGGGTTGCGTCGGTCCGGCCAATCGACATCCGACGTGCAAAGCTGCCACTTCCGCCGCTGACATTAGATGAAGTTCGCCGACGTGTCCAATGAATGCCATCCTGTCCACTTGACCTATGTGTCTGAAACGCGGGCGAAGGCTCCGCAGGCCCTGCCTGTTCGCCCGGCGCTGGCCGCTGCAACACGGATGGGGTGCGAAAGCTCTGTTCAGTGCGCCAGGATCCTTTCCTGGTTTCAGATACTGGCTCATAACGACCCGACCGGGAGTTGTATAGCTCACGGGTACCAGATTGCGAGTCTTTCCATGACCGATTGAAATCGTCCGCGGCTATCTCCTTCGGATGAGTAACACCGCTATAACGGTCGACCGGAGGTGGTTCTCTCGACGAAGTATGTACCTGAGGTTGAACTTGCACAGGAGGTATAACAGGAGACATTTTCTCAACTGGGGGCAGAGGAGCCCATGGTGACTTGGCTGGGGGTGGCGCCGGACTTGTAGATAGTGACGGCGACTTCTCGTTAGTACCTTTAGAAGAAATACTTGCGCTCTTTGCCTGTCTTTCCGCATTTGCTCCCAGCCTAAGAACAGTGGGGTTCGGTCCAACCGAAGTCGTAGGCTTTGAGACAAATTTGGTAGTCTCCTTAATAGCGGGAACTTGCTCGGGGCGTGGAGGCGGATAATCGTTCTTGGGTTCCATCGACGGCTTGTTCTCTTGCTTTGTTGCTGCAGTGTGTTCCACTTGGGACAGATTTGTCTTCGTTCCATCAGTCCATTCAATTGTTTCCGGTGCCCAGTCATCTTCATCATCATCAATATCGGCCCACTTTGCTTCTGTTCCACCGCCATCCTCTTGAATACGCGACGTCATGTGGATCCCATACTGCTGCTTAAGCTCTTCGTCTGTCAAGTGTTTCGGTGGAGTCTGCTGGATCGCTGGACACGATTCAAAGTTAGCAGAGACTTCGAGAGTCAATCAATACTGTCTTACGTCGATTCTTATTCCAGACTTGATTTGGGTCAGGCCCACTTCCAGCTAGCCTCGCCGCACTCGTCCCTGTTTTCGATAATGAATCGCGTAGACTGCTAGTGGTTTTCGCGACCAAGCGTGGTCGTGAGCTTTGCAACGGTACACCCAGCGGGGTAGTTGAAGACAACGGAGCTAAGACCGGTTAGACTTCGATTTGGCGTGACACCTTGTAAGGATAAATACCTTTCTCAGCAATCTTAGCTGTCGGAGGCGTTCCTGGAGCTTTAGGTACTGAAAACTTTGCGAAGGAGACTGGCTTGAATGATGTCGGCCTCTTTGTTGAACTTGCACGTGAGTTAAGTCTGCTCTCTGTTCGACTGGCGTCGGATTCTGAGCCGCCTTGGGAAGCCGTATCCTCTCCAATATCGGAACCAGATGCTACTCCATTTAATTCAAGCGCCCTTGTCGCCACTGGCCCAGGCCCTTGCCTTGAATTATCCTATGTCTGATTCAGTAGGGACCTTATAATGCCCGGGTAACCAAGACTCACGGTCGTCGATTGGTCCGTATCCCTCCCAGTAGCATTCTTTTCGCTGTACGTCTCAGATAAACTGGTATCATGTGTGCCTTGTTCGGCGTTCGTGATTGCTTCGAGATGTGTAGTTGTTGCGGTATGTTTGATCTCCCCCACGTCCCCTCCGGCAGGTTTCTTGTCGTTGGTGCTCGCAGGAACGTCGGAAGGCGAAGGCTCGCCGCCCGACAGGGTTTGATTTACCACATCGTGGCTGCTCTGCTCTGCCATAACAATTCTCGAGTCTGTGAGGCCAACAGGTTGCGACATCTGTTAGACAAGCGTTCTGAAACTGTAAACACTGAAACAAGTGGCGACTATAAGGTTGAACTCATGGCTAAACTTGAAGGAACGGTCTGAGAAGTACCTATTGTCAGGTATCGAGAATCGCCACGGTCGAACTATTAGCTCAACTGCCTGAGCCGTGAAAAGCTCCAAACGACCAGGTGGACAGCGGAGAATGTCCTAGGTAGAGAACAAGAGATAAAGCTCGGCGAAACAAGGTCGGGCGGGTGGGAAATTCTAGTGGAAGAGTGAGAGCCAGCAGCCCAGTTATTCCCCAAAGGGAGGTTCAACAGTAAAGTGGTGCTTCTCAGGTTGATGTGATCGGGTGATGGCAGCAGTCATGGACGGATGGGCGGTTCAGGTTGAGACTAAGGGTGGCTGTTTTCGGTTAGCGTGGTACAAGTGAAGTACTCCGTAAAGCAAACCTTTGTGGCTGGACCTGTTGCGGCCGATGTTCACTCACATTCACTTCGTTAGTATGCCGTTGTTTTCTTATTACAGGTACTAGTGATATTGTGAACTATTGAAATAGTGGATATGTTATTTTTTTTTATTTTTATATTCTTTGCCTTCTTCTTCTTCCGGGTTATATTTACTTTCTTCCTTTTCAATCTTAGTTTATTATACTTCTGTCACTAATCCCATTTTATAGCATGACTAACGATCGTTCCATGAAGTAGCGCAAGATATTATTCAATGTTATTTGAGTCATCCTATGTATGACGCCATTTAAATGATCTGGAGACAATGATGAGTCACTACTAACTAGGAATCTGTGAAACATAATAAGCTTGAATGTGTTCTACATTGCCTTCAATCTAGGTCAGCGGTATATACACAAATCTTCCGCGCCCCCTCAAGTCATAGCGAGAAAATTTAGTGGGGGTGGTTCTTGTGGTGACCTAGAAGTGTGTTAGATTCTCGAGGTCTATAGTATGGTATAGAAAGGAAAACATACGGAGGTGGAAGTAGTACTCCATGCTGTAGCCGAGGAGGAGAATGCCACCGATGGCGTGAGCGAGGGCTATATGATTATCAGCGCATGTCATGTAAACTTTTAGGAGCAAGAGTGTCTACTTACGAGCAGCAGAGGGGTTCTTGCCGAAGTAACGAGCCTGGTAGCGGCCAATGAGACCAGTAGGCTTAACTTCAGGGGCCGAGCCACGGGGAAGGCGGGCATAGAAGTTCACAACGCGGTCCATACGGGCAGCATCCTTGGCAGCACCAATCGCCTTTCTAAGTGTCAGTATAATACAGTAACGAGAGGGAGAAACCGTATGCTACGGTGCCCCGAGCCGCATTGAAAAAAGAATTTGTCCCGAGCGGAGCGACTTCAGTGGCTGTCGGGGAGCATGACGGTGGGGGAAGGGGATCTCACATTAGGAGAAGCGATCTAGAGACGAGTCAGTATCCATTGTTCAAAAGATTTCCGTCGGTTCTGTTCTCCTCGCGGGTTCTTCTTACCTTGGGAGGGATCAGGGTCGAAAGACCTCGGCGAGTGATGTAGCTCATCTTGTGTGACTAAGTCGGGTTAGAAAGCTTTCAAATTCACGCCAATAAAGATTAAGATAGACAGTGTCCTATCCTATGGGCATCTCTCTTACCTTGATACGAGCAAGTGGACTGAGATGATGGCTAATGGCAGAGAGAAGGGAAGTGCCAACAGAAAGCGGGTTGTCGGATGAGCGGTTCCTAACGCAGGGAGCCTCATGCTGCGCTAACCGGATTTGGAATCGTCTTTAACGACTGGCAACTTGCCGCATACCTCACTTGACGATTGCACTTCCTCAGCGTCTTGTTCTGTCCAGCCAACGAGGGACACAATTGCCATAATGTCACTTTTCAGAGCAGGAAATCTCGCCTGCTTCCGAGCTGGCAGGCTTGCTGCGCCTATCAATGCTCGTTTCCTTTCCACCAACGCCGGTCGAGGCGACCCTTCCGTGAAAACCAGCCCTGCTGATGCCCCAGCTGTGCCTCCCAAGGACAGCTCATTAATCCGCCAGGAGGGTCCTGCTGAGGCAATGGCTCGCCACCAACCGGATTACGAGGCCACAATTGATCACGGCACCTCGTAAGGGACTCTATATAACGCCAGGAGCGTTTTGGCTGACAGACGTAGGAAATTCTCCCCAGTGCCCAAGCGTGTCATGGATGGAAGCGAGCCCGGTGACACCGTCCCAGCTGCTGTTCTTTCTGGTGCTCCTACTGATCTCCAGGCTCGTACTGTCAGGTATAGATGCAAACTTCTAACACCCATTTCAAACGCTAATTTAGGTCATTCAGGATCTACCGCCCCTCGAAGCCCGCCACGCAATCTGGTACCTGGCACCAGCACAACTGGAGAATGGATTGGGATGTGTTACAGAAGGGCCACCGCTGGGAAAACCCTCTGATGGGCTGGCAATCGTCTGCTGATAATATGCAGGGTACTCATCTGAACTTCAAGTCCAAGGAAGATGCCATTATGTTCGCGCAGAAGCAAGGCTATGAGTATTTTGTTCAGGAGCCAAATGAGCGCAGATTCGTTCCTAAAGCTTATGCGAACAACTTCGTTCACGAACCGAAGAAGATCAAGCACATCAGGACCAAATAATCCATTACATCAAGTGTATCTTGTACATAACTCCGGATTTTTTACTCTTTCGGAATTGTTTTTCAGGTGTTCTATGACTCTTTACCATGCCTCCAAGGCCCATATACCGAAAGCTTGGTTCCCCACGATCCAGGCATTACGGTTCACTGGGCAGGGGAGCACGTACTTATAATTCTTCCTGGGTCGATTTCGGTCAGTGCTCCCAATGATCGAGAAAGCTATCTAGCCAGGTCTGCCCAAGAATTTCATGGCTGCTGGCGTTTCGTACTAGCTCGATTGAAGAACGCCATTCGCTTTACCTATAAACATAGCAAGGAAGCTCGTTAGCGTCAAGCGAGTCTTCAGCACCTCGTTATTTTTGGGTGTTTCTTTTTTTATGTTCTTCCGTGAAGATCTGCGAATGTCGTAGTATGTGTGCATATAACTGCCTCATAAGGTAGACTATATTGATTTACCCAATGCAAGCCTCTTACAAGAATGTCCGAAATACTTATGTACAAATTACACTCTCCTCGTAAGCATTACAACAGGCGGCATTTAACTATATCAAACATGTGAACTATGATCATTCTCGTGAACTAAAAAAATTTAGTCCCTTGTGACTATAATTATCTCAAGTTGTATGTTTACAAGTCCATAATGACCGAGTCAAAGGAAGGGCACACATTATTTATATAGTAGTCTTCTCTTAGAAACTATACAAAGCTAGGGTAAGTTTTCAAGTTCCATATCGATGATCTACAAACCCTAGGCTGCAAAAAGTATTTGCTTAGAATTCCGGGAAACAATGAAACTCTTGCAAGTTCCGGTACTAAGCGTCAAGATAGAAACGATCTCGAAGTAACCTTTCCCTTTTTTTTTTTCAGGTCTAGTTGCGGCCGGACAACCCCGCCACCCCACCTAAAATTTATTATCTGGTGAAGATAAGATCGAAAATTTACATATACTCACTCAGTGATTTAATACTTTCCTCTGCTCCCGGACTACCTCAAAAACACACAGACTACATATATAATGGCTTCTACTGCAGTTGACCACCCTGAGGGAGTGGATGAGACCATCCTGACTCTTCGCAAAGTTCTTGTCAATGAATCTGAGCCGCTTGCTCGCCGATTCCGTGCCCTGTTCTCCCTGAAGTACATTGCTTGTTTGCAACCGACGACCGAGAAGACGCTGCCTGCGATCCAGGCCATCGCAGCGGGATTTACATCGTCCTCGGCTTTGCTGAAGCATGAGCTCGCATACTGCTTGGGTCAGACTCGTAATCCAGATGCAGTCTCGTACTTGCTGGAAGTGGTTAAGAACACTGAACAAGATGCAATGTGTCGCCATGAAGCCGCAGAGGGTCTCGGTGCTCTGGGGTTTGACACCAGCCTGGATGTCTTGAAAGCTTTGCGGGATGATGAGAAAGAAGAGGATGTCATTAGAGAGACATGTGATATCGCCGTTGACAGAATTCTCTGGGAGAATTCGGAAGAGAGGAAGAGTGAGAAACTGAAGCCTAGGTACTACAACCGTTTCAATGCCCCTATCTCCGCAAACCTTTTTTGGGGAAATTCTTCTAATTGTATTCTTTTCTTCAATGCAGTGATTTTACCTCGATTGACCCAGCTCCACCACTCCCAATGGCATCCAGCCAGCCTTCCATTTCCGACTTGGAAAAAACATTGCTCGACACAAAGCTCCCTTTGTTCCAAAGATACCGCGCTATGTTTGCCCTGCGCGACCTTGCCTCGCCCCCCGATCTTCCTACAGCTGTCGAAGCTGTTGAAGCATTGGCTAAAGGACTCAAGGATCCGTCTGCTCTCTTCCGCCATGAAGTTGCCTTTGTGTTCGGTCAGCTCTGCCACCCGGCGTCTGTCCCTAGTCTCACAGAAACACTCAGCGACCAGAACGAAATGGGTATGGTAAGACACGAGGCTGCTGAGGCACTTGGTAGCCTGGGTGATGTTGAAGGTGTGGAGGCCACCCTAAAGAAGTTCCTGAACGACCCAGAGCAGGTGGTGAGAGACAGCATTATTGTGGCTCTAGATATGGCGGAGTATGAGAAGAACGGGGAGATGGAGTATGCGTTGGTGCCGGATTCAGCAGCCCCGGCTGCTGTATCTGCTGCTTGATAAATTTTCGGCAAACTAAGAAAGATTACAGTGGCTTAATTGATACTCGCTTCATAGATGTACAGCCGTGAACCCAAAATAGAAGTCTTTTCTGATGTTTAGTTGTTTTGTGTCTCCCTGTAAATCGAATATTAGCATCATGCGTGAATGACTATCGACGGCAAATGGAAGTAGAGGCACATACTTGTAACCACAAACGCAAGTGTAAAAGACCGTACTTCCTTCGTCTGCACTGCGCAATTGCACGGTTGTGAAGTACATCTCTTTCCTGCCACATCTCGCGCAAGTATGTTGTGTAAGAGCTTCTGTCCTTTTATCTGCAGCTGTCAAGTTCTGGACTGCCGATCGTTTTGCCCTCAGTGTCGAAGGGAAAGCACTCGCTTTGGATTCAGAGACGATGGTTTTAGGGACAATGTCTGAAAGGAAAGTGAGGTTAATATGAGCCAGGCAGAGACTTCTCCGAATGAAACTAACTTACCTCGATTACGAGCTCCGCAGATGCTGCAGACGATGAGTTTCGTAGGGTCACCAGACGACTCATCTAATAAATTTCCGCAGTCATTGCAGAAGATCAAGGACCCAATTGCAGACATTTTGTCAAGTGGTGACTTGAGTAAACCTGTAGTTGGAAGAGGTATCTGGAGTAATTAGTTAGTACTACTTTTTTTTTCTTTGGCTGGTTGGCTGTCGGAAAGAATTCCCAGAGCACGGGCCACTTCGAAATGGACATACATGATTAGTGCCGGGCGGTCAGAAACGGTAGCGGCAAGAGACCCGTGCCTGGCATGATAATAATTATTACATTGTTTTTATCGTGAAGTATCTCAAGAAGACAAGATATCGGACGGGGATGGAATTTGAATCTTTTGCTTGAAAGCCATGTCTCCAGTAGGAGCATGTCATTTCCTTCTTTTCAAATCGCCTGGGTCCTCAACTCCAATCCTCCCTTAACGAAAACCCCAGTTCATCATGGACCGCAACTGGCATCCGGCCGTTCAGGTCGTCATCAATGGCCATCCTCAAGCGCAGGCTCACACTTCTAGTGGGCTACCACAGCGCCGGGACAAGCCATTATCTGTGGAAGAGGCTTTGCAGTACTCACCCATGTCCAGTTCTCCGATATTTGGTCTAGGTGATTTGATATGGAACCTAATGGGACATGGTAACCGCTAGCTGATACACGATTCTTTGTAGATTGCATACTGCGTCCTGATGTTGGCCGACCCCCTAATACTACCTCTATCAACCATATCCTACAATCCGGCCGTACTACTTTGACCCAACTCAATGGCGAAGTTTCATCTGGGCGCGATGAGTCGAGCCGGTTAGAGACATCTCGAGAGTATCTGCAACAGTTGCTGGATGGTGACCAGTTAACCGAGTTGTAAGCGTCTCCCATACCTCACAATTACGACATAAAACTCATAATCCCTCAGCAAATTCAAAATTCCTATAGCCTCCCGTAATGATCAACATTCCCTCCCCACTACTTCCAGCGAACATACTTCCAGTAGCAGCAATCTGGGCTCATTCGCGAGGATGATGTTGGAATCGACAGATATAGCATTTCGCTGTAAGTTTAGACTATTCCAACCACTTCGATGCTAGACTTACATGTCACAGATCCTACGCCATCGCAAGCTGAGGGTGAGAAACGTTCTCAAAAGGCTAGTTCCTGGAATCCGAAAGCTTATGCGGCAATCAAGTCGACACCTGCATCCTACAATCAACCGAATCATATGTCGAGCAACTTATCCGTAGTAATTCCAGTCAAACCGATACCTCCCGATACTGATAATCGTGTTATTTCAAAGCGGAGGAAGCTCAATACTGATGGGGACGATAACCTTGCGGCAATCCGACTCAAGGACCAGAAAGAGGAGGCAGACGCTGCTCTAGTGAAGCTTCAGGACTTACTTCATGAGATATTCGAAGCTGAGGATCAACTAGAACCAGGCATGACGTCTGCTACAACGGCTGAGCACTCTAATGCGGTATTTTCGGTCGCCCGGGCGCTTGACATCAGCGGATCGCTTTTGTCTTCGGATATCCACAGTCGTCTCCAGAAGGCTATCAGGAAGGTAGTGGGATTCAATAGACTTCAGGATATCCCATCGGACTATTTGAACAGGATTCAGAAGCTTTGTGAAAAGCCCGTCATCGCAGCACAATCACCTGATTTGAGATTAGAGGATCCATCCAACGACTCCGAAGCCCAAGAATGGCTGAAGAAGATAGACGATATACAAAATGCTCTTCTTGCAGTAGGTACCCTATTACTGACTATGTCGGGCTCTCAGACGGAACGGGACCTTTGCCCTGAGGACCTGATTGAAGCCATTCCAAACGTTCTCAATCAAACATTCGACCACTGTGTCATCCCTGCTGTAGAAGCTCGGCCCGGTGGGAAAGAGGCCCATCATTTTGAGTTCTTCTCTGCCCAGAAACGTGTTATCGGGGGATTGATTCAGCAAAGCAAAAAGGCCCTTGCGCTTTTCGCCGAGTTCCTTGCACGGATAGATGTGTCTGAAGGGACAGTCACAGCGGCTGAATTTTTTGCTTGCAAACTTATATTTGTAGAAAATTCTCACACGGAGAAGGATTCTGCAGTGGGTTTCCAGAAATATGAGTCCGTTCGACGGGGAGCTATGGATGTCCTTGCCAAAGTATTCTCCAAATACCCCGCTCAGCGCCCATTTATCTTGGATGAGATTTTAGTTTCACTGGAAAAGCTACCGTCAACCCGGCAAAGTGCAAGACAGTTCAAGCTCGCTGATGGCAAAAATATCCAGCTTCTAACGGCATTGGTCATGCAACTGGTTCAAACAACTGCTTTAGATGTACCGATGTCACGTTCATCAAGAACGAAATCTAAACTTCCACCTTCAGGTGACGAAGAAGCAGAGGAAGAACAGCTGGATGATGTACACAGGAAGGATGATGATGATGGGTCCGAATTGACTATGGAACAATTAGCTACCAAGGTTAATCGCCTCTACGATAATGCCGTCCGCAGTGCTCAGTATATAGTGAAGTTTATTGTTCAACGAGCAATGACATCCACCAAAACAGGTGACCAGCCGTACCGGAACATCCTTGATTTGTTTACCGAGGATTTGATCGGCGTCCTAGGATCAACAGACTGGCCTGCCGCAGAGTTACTTCTCCGCATAATGGCCTCTCATATGGTTGGTATTGCCGACCTAGATAAGAGTCCTGCTACTGCGAAGAGCATGGCGCTTGAGCTCCTCGGCTGGATGGGATCTGCGATATCAGATCTTATTGTGACTGCCCAGCATTTACTTCCAACCATGGAAGAATCTGACAGTGAGCTGACTGACTATCTAAAACAGTTATTTGAAGATTACTCTGGCCGGGCCATCCATCCTCAAGATCTCGTTGTCGCAGAAGGCCCCTACCGGATGACTCTGGAATATTTTCTTCAAGTCCGTCACCTGGACGATTGGCAGCTCACTAGTGCTCGGGGTTACTATCTGGCACAGTGGGCAAAGTCTTTCTGTTCAGTCTATTATAATGCAGACGAGAGAGAAGATGTCACTTATGATGATATGACTGAAAACCTTGTCGATCTATTTGCAAAGTTGTTTTCTGACCCACTGTGGCTGGAAACCCACAAGTAAGTGACCGGGTGAAGTGCTTGTCGCTGATTCGATCCTAATACATTAAATAGGCATTTTAACAATGTATCTGCTGCACATGGAAGATTCTCATACATAATGACCGTTCTGAACTCAAGCTTTTGTAAAGCTTTCGATACGATTTTGAAAGTTCTACTCAATTCTATTGCCAGTGACCAAGCCAAGGTTCGCAGTCGCAGTCTGAAAAGCGTTATCTACATGCTTGAGAAGGACCCGAGCCTTCTTGATAGGGACACATCAGTGATGCGTGTTATTCTTCGATGTGCCACCGATGCATCCCCTATGGTGCGTGACTCTGCGCTCTCTCTGATTGCGAAATGCATTTCCCTGAAGCCGAAACTTGAAGAGGATGGCTGTCGAAGTATATTGACTTGTGCTGCTGATCCAACCGCTGGTGTAAGGAAACGGTGCATTGGTTTACTTAAAGACATATATCTCAAGACCTCACGTACTGAGCTTAAACTAGCGATTCTGGACAGCTTTCTCCAACGAACAGGAGACCTTGAAGAGAGTGTCTCCACTTTGGCGCGTCAGACTTTCGAGGAGATCTGGTTGGCCCCTTTCTACGAGCTTGTTGACTCGGCTCAAGATGGCCCTAAATTAAAGGTTGGCTTGGGGGAACGAGTGACACTATTTGTTAGCTTGGTGCAGCGCAGCGAGACAGCTCTCGAAACACTCGGTGGATGTCTCAGAAAAATTCTGTCCGACAGCTCTAAATCCTCGTCTTCAAACTTCAAAGTATGTAAGGCAATGGTCTCAACTATGTTTGAAAAGTTGGTGGAGGATAGCGATGCAGGCAAAGAATCACAGCAAGCTCTCCTGCAGACGATAACTGTGTTCGCAAAGGCAAACGCGAAGCTATTCCGCCCCGACCAGTTAGAGACTCTTCACCCTTATATTGGACATCTTGCCACTGCGGAAGATCTCTTCCTCTTCCGATCTGTGGTTGTGATTTATCGATGCGTTCTACCATACCTTTCCTCTGCTCATAACACTCTCTTGAAAGAAGTACAAAACGATCTGTTCAAGAGCGTTGCCAAACTTGCTCGCTCAGAACTGAATGAAGTGATGGCCTGTCTTTGGACTATCAACGGGGTTCTGCAGAATACTGACAGGCTCGTGAAGCTTACCATTTCTGTGCTCAAGCCAATACAACACTACAAGAACATTGATCTTTCTGACAATGCCAACATGGCTATCCTAGCTCGAGCTAAAAGTTATATCCGGATCGCGGGTTGTGTCGGACGACATTGTGATCTCGAAAAATATGAACCACATTTCAAAAACGCTTTCCCGTCTTGGAACGGCGGGTCAGTAGCTGGTTTAATGGTCGATTCGATCATCCCATTTACCCTTTCGAAACAGCCACTCGAGCTAAGAGTAATGGCTCTAGAGAGCCTTGGGTCTATCTGCCAGTCCTGGCCTGCTCAATTCAGTCGAGATGAATCGAGACGGATATTGTCCATGGTTTTCAAGGAGGAAAACCCGAGTCTTCAGAACATTGTCTTGCGGGCATTTGCAGATTTCTTTGCAATGCACGAAGGCAAAGCTGAAAAGTCTGTGTTGCCCTCAGCCGAAGCTTTGGACCAAGAAAGTACTACGAGGTTAGGCGGCTCGCTGAAGGCCAGCGATAATGATGGGGCAGCTGCATTGATTGCTCAGCATTTCCTTCAGAATATGCTTCGAGTTGCACAATCACGACAAGACTCTTATGCTCTAACTGCTATCGAATTGATCGCTAGTATTAACCGTCAGGGGCTTGTCCATCCAAAAGAGTGTGCAGGTGTATTAGTGTCACTGGAGACTTCCACTGTTCCCTCCATCGCTAAAGTTGCGTTTGAGACACATAAAATGCTCCATCAGCAGTATGAATCTATGTTTGAAAGAGAATACATGCGAGCCGTTCAGGAGGCTTTCTATTACCAACGCGACGTTGTCGGAGATTCGACCGGTGCGCTGAACCGTCCATATGTTGCCAA